TGTGGCGCGGGTGCCGACTCAGACTCGAATGCCGTGACGGGTGCGGTTGCTGGCGACGATATTGGCGCAGCTGAAGATACCGGGACAGATGAAGGCATTGGGGGCACTTCTTCTCGTGGAGTGCTGGACTTGTTGTTGTTGCTGTCTGCTCGGCGGGATGTCGACGTGCTTTTAGCGGACCGACTCGACCGTTTGCGTTCGAGGACAATGGGCGGTGGTTCGGCTGGCTCCACAGCCACAGTCGATGGTGCATGTGCGGCTGCGGACGTGGATGCGGCCATGGGCGGTTGTGGAATGGTCGCGGCAGGGGGGGTCACGGGCGGCATCATGCGTCGGGGCCCGCCAGGCACCGTAGGCGTCGGCGCGGCATCGTAGTCGTCGGTGAAAAAGGTGTTGGAGAATTCAATGTGCCATGGAGCTCCGTTCGCTTGAGCTTGATGTTGTGTGGCCTGCAGGGCTGGTGGGCGGTGACCATAGTCGAAGCTCGAGGATCTGCCACCGAAGCCGGAAGCCCACCTGGTGCTACTGAGAACCTGAGCATAGCCGGCATCAATGCTGTTGGAGCTGCTACTCTTTGTGCTTCCCTTCCCACCTCGAGAGTGCATGTGGCGTTGGGAGTTGGCAGTGCTTCGCAGCGGTTCCCGCATACTGCTGATGCGGTGCAGACCAGGTTGGAAGTTGGAACTGCTGTTGCTCCTCCTACCCCGTGAGGATATCCTGCTCGCATCGTCGGCGTCAAAGTCGGAGCTATAGGAGTATGTGTGTCCAGGGCGGCCACCTCGCACTGATCTAGAGAAACCGTCACCGTCGGTATCGTATTGGTACTGCTGAGAAGGCTCGTCATGCATGTTTGGCGGGCTACTGCCAAAGGGGCCACCGACTGGGCCACCCATGGAGAATTGGTCGAGAGACATGAGCATATTCGCCATGAGGGAGTCGCGTGTAACGTTTCGCGGGGACAATGAAAGATCGTGGGAGTCGCGGGGGCGTGATTGGTCGGGATTATCGTTTTCTTTATTCGAGGACATGTCGAAGCTGTCGGGCGAATCGGGAGTGTCTACCAAGAAAGAGTCGTCGGCATGGCGAGAGAGAGCAGGGCCTCGTAGTGCCCGAGAACTGTTGGATTTGCCCTTGGCGACGGATGAGGACGAAGTAGGCGGCGGTGGCCTGTTCCTGTTACTCGGCGGTGGTGTTTGAGGGACTGGCGGCGCAGTTGTAGGTTCTCCTCTTGACGCGACAACGGCGGCGGGCCTGTTCGAGTAGGCGGCGGGCGGAGGAGAGGTGTTGATGTTGAGGTCGGGACGGCGACGACTGGAACGTCTCGGGGTGTCGGCGTACATGATGAAGGAGGGGGGGACGAAAGGGTATCGTGGGGGTCGAGAAGGGTTTTCAAGTCATTTCCAGATCCAATCCGATCAAGCGCAAGCGCAAGGCGCATATGCAGTAAGGTGCCGTAGTAGTCGCCAGTAGTAGCAGCAAGCAGGCCGGCGCCAAATAGATGCCAAGGTGCGGCCGCTGGACAAGAGTCGGGGACGCGCCCCAATATTGTGCAACGCGGTTGATCCAATGCGACGCCAGTAGGTCAAGCGATCCAATCCGACGGCGATGGCAGCGCCGTAAGAATCAGTCGATGTCTGCCGGCGGGCTCACAGGATTCAGAGCCTGGAGTGAGGTCCTTGAAGTTTGAACAGCAGGCGGCGGGCAGGCTTGAACAGGCAGACTGACGGTCAAAGTGGGCTTCTCAGGCGTCGCAATGTCCACAAGGCCGGGTTCGAACTTTGGTGTCGCGGGTCGGCTTTGTCTCCCGGGGTGAACGAGTCCCAACCGAGTAATGAGTGGCCGAAATGAAGACTCGAGCGAGTCCCGTTTTGGACCCTTTCTTTGGGTCTTTTGGGGGGGTGGTGTCAGGTGTTAGCGGACGACGTTGCAGCAATGTTTCTTTTCTGGAGTGGGCAGCTGTTCAGGTTGCTTTTTTCTCTGGTGGTGCTTTTGCCGTTTTCCCCCGTTTGGCATGGGCGGGTGGGCATTCAAGGGCCAAGAGTGCCACGAGGAACGGGAAAATGTGCGCGGGAAGGTTTGATTATGTATTAGTATCCGTCGTTGGTAGCGTGTATTCGTACTAGTAGTGGTAGTATTGAGACCGGGTATTCAGTAGGCGAATGTTGGGGGGTAAGAGTGACGGGCCTTGAAAGTTGGTACGATGCTCCGAAAGAGGCGATGGATGCTACCCTCAATCTTCCCCTGACCTAGGACTTGCTAGGCCCCGGATGGATGGTGGTGATCGGCCGTCGACGGGCGAGGGGTGGAGGACGCGGACGTGGACGTGGACGAGGGTGAGGGTGTGGTGTATGAAGTGGTTCACTTATGTCTTGTGCTAGCGACGAGAAAACGGCGACGGTGCGACTGCTAGCTTGGGAGGTATCCGCAGATGCGCGCAACACAGGTCGAGGTTGTGTTGGTAGTGGGCGAGCGCAGGGTTAAGAAGTATTAGTAGTTCGAATTGGATCGTCAGAGTATGGACTGCGTGGTAGACATGGATATAGCTGGAAGTATTCTGTATGCGGAGACTAGAGTATACCAAGTCCAAGTAGAAGTGGTATGCGAAGCGTGGTGTATCCGTACGGAGTATACGTATGGCCACTGTTTAACTCCATCGTTTTGTATTACTAAAGGATTACCGCAGTACATATAGACGCTACCCTGCCCTCGAATTCCGCACTATTTAACCTCAACCCTTTTCTTACCTATCCTTTCCTCTATTCTACCCTCTCCCTCAAGGGATCGCTAAAATCGTAGTTTTAATAACTTATTAATAAGCTAATATTATTATCTAAAAATAAGTAACTTACTCTTATATATAAGCGCTAGGAGTCTTATTATTATAAAAATAGTAATAAATATATTAGAATACTTAAGAAAGCTTTTTAATAAACTTTTAATACTATTTAAAGTAATTATCCTCGAGCTATAAGAGGAAGCTAAGGTACTATATTAATACGGCCTTATCTATTTTATTAATATTAATAATACTCTTTTTAGTATAAGATATATTAATAATACTTTATAACCGCGTTATTATGCTTTATAAATCGTACTTAACGTTAATAAGGTTTTTAATATTATTTACTAAGTCTTTTATTAAGGTTATTATTATAAAATTAGTTTAGTTATTAATATCTTAATAAGTATTTTAACTTAGTATATTTAAAAGCTTTTATAGTTCTTAAGGAGAGGTTTTTAAAAGACTTATAATTAAACTTTTTACTTATTATAAATAAAGCTATTATAATTAAAATTATAGCGTTACTTACGGACCTTAATAGTAAGTAGTTAATAATATAATTATTTTTTTTTTATAATAAGCTTAAAAAAGTATTTTAATTTAAGTACTAAGTAAGTACTATACTATTTTATTAAAACTATATTCTTATACTTATAACTTAGAAAGAATTAACTTTCTTCAATAACAAGGTACTCAGAGTATGCGTATAGCAAGGTTGGATGGGGTGCGGTAAGGGACGGTAGATGCAGGTGTGCATTCGTCACAGTTCGGATGTTTTGCGGTGCCAGGGCACTAGGGGGGTGGGTGGTCGGGTGCTTGGTTGCTTGAAGCACAAGCAGTTAGAGAAGGGAGGCGGCGAGACAGGTGAATGGATGATGGATGATGGATGGATGGATGGATGGATGGGTTTGTTGACTTTTGGCTTACTTAGCTAAGGTACGGGAGAAAGTCTTGCAAGGTATCTGGGAGGTCTGATTTGTTGGCTTGGTAATAAGGTGTTGTTGATGAACAACAAGCCACGAAACACACGTGGGAAAAGTGCAAAGAAGGAAAAGAAGCAGAAGGGAAGAGGAGGAATGGCCACAAGCAAATTCACTACCTTGGATACGTAGCAAGGTACAGATTACAGATAGGTACCTGCCAACACCAGCTCCGAGGCGAGGTAATTAAGGTACCACCACGAAGGTACGGCGTAATTAGGGTCAAGCAAGGCATGACAAGGAATCTCGTTGATGGGCAGCCTATCCGTACACTAGAAGAAAGACCGGGCAGGGGCGGGGATATCCATACTTGACAGTCACAGAACACAGATGGGGATGAGATCCGGGACTGCTACGAATAGGAACCTAGTCAATAAAGCTAGAAAATGAACAGCGGACAATATCTCAGGCAAGTATTACTGTGGTCCTTCCGACGGGACATGGATGGAACTTGAGACCTTGGTCTTTTTGGGCTGGTATCAACGTTGAAGGTCTGCAGAATCTCGGATTATGGTATCCGTAAAGGGGTCCATATTCTATCAGGTAATTAGACGTAGCGTCCGTGTTGCTGCTGATGGTGCTACATGTATTGATTCTCTCTTGTGTATCTCTGTGCGGGCCTGCATGTTGGCAGGCAGGACATTCTAATTACACAGCGCATGCGACACGACATGAACCAAGGTGCCTTGGTATGTACTCCCAACTCCCTACTCCGGATGGATGCAGAGTACGGGAGTACGGAGTTTCTGTGAGAGAATGCAAATGATACGGGACTTAGGATGCGCCGGCCCATGGACGTTCATGTTGGCGTCTCTTCTCGGTCGGTTTTGCGGAGCGTCCCTGTCCCTGTCAAAAAAGTCGGGCCCAGGCAAGAGAAACACCAGACGAGACGATAAGAACAATAATATCAATATGCAAGGGAAAGAGCAATAGGGAGCACGGACGCCAATATTCCACATTATCATATCCGATGCTGAATAAGGGCGACGACGACGACAACGATGACAACGACGACCATATGTCCGTCTGACTTTGCCTTATTAGTCGATGTACGGAGTACGTACGGGCAAGTATTGCTTACTACCTAGGTAAGGTAGGTAAGGTGGTCGATGCCCCGCATGGTTGACGAAGCAGGTCGAAGAAACATCCAACAGATGCAGAAATACCAAAAGAAACACCAAAACACCAGACGAAGGAAAAGTTCCTTCCATGTATTTTTGAGGGCATCCATCCATCCCATGGTCCTCCGCACCTGCCACGTCCACCAGTGCCTTCTTTCCTCCACTATCCCAAATTTCGAGCTGCACTTGCCTCATCCACCACATTACAAGTACGTATCCGCAACTGTAAGAAACGGGGAAAGAGCCAACGCATGAGAGCTTCCTCGCAAGGCACGGTACCTAGAAAACCCACAGAAAAAGTCGAGAAATGTCACGGGCCTTGCGACATGTGGTCAGGAATCGTCAGGACGCACCTTCCATGTCATTTCTCGCCGTTGCCCTTGGCTGCTGCTGGAGAACATGAGGAAAGCACACAGCCAAACTGGCCCGAATGGGTAAAGTAAAGAGTCCAGGTCCGCTGCAACTGCAGGGTTTCTCCTTTTTCACTGCTTTTCCCATTTTCCTTTGCCCCCAGTTGGCAGTGAACCCCTCCTTTCTTCTTTTGTTTTTGGTAGTATTGTTTTATTGCCTTTTTTTCTCCATGTTCTGTCACTCTCTTTTGACTGTCTACGGAGTAATCTATCACTCTGCTTTCCCGGCTTACCGATACTTGTGACCAAGTATACTCACTCACCTTCGTCATCTTAACCGCCCGCAAAGAACAAAGAAATCACCGCTTCATCTCAATCCCTCTCTGCAGAGCACGTCCTGTTCTCTCCAACCGCCCTCAATCCCACCAATCATTGCCCATCCTCATTTCCAGAACGCCATTGGGCTCTTTCGAAGACAACCGCTTCGCTTCGCGTTCGCGCCATGGATGATGGAAACCGAGCCAGATGAGCAATGCAAAAGAAACAATCTGCCACAACCATCATCGATATGAACCTGCTGCCGTTGACCCTTACACAATACCTAGACTGGGAGAGCCTACCTACGCCATGGCAGTGTAGGATTTGGACGCCGTCGTGGCACCCCAAAACATGGCTGGCCTGCGAGACACGAGACACCACCACAAGCGCCAGACACCTTGACACCGCGACCGACGGCAGGCTTGCCGCCCTTGACTAGCCTCCTTTTCTGACGGGCACCACCCTGCACTGTCCCCTCCAATCCTTCCTTACTACGTACATTCTTCCACCACAAAGACCAGAAGTGTCCAGAAAAAACGGGACAAGAGGAGACAGGGCTGCAGGGGTAATGCAAGATGCATCCATCCCACCATTGCTCTTGTCCCAAAGGAGAAGCCAATCCCAAGGGGATCCCAGACACTACCGTCGGCCTTCGTGAAGCCGTCGCCAGGGGCTGATGGCTGATGGCTTGGTCAACCGTCAATTGGGTGCAAGACACGGTACGGAGTCCTTCACAGTCCTACAGATCCATCGCTGGCTGGCTGGCATTGCTCATGGCGGATGCCCATTACCGATACGACTTCAATATCCTGCGGGACCGACAATGTTTATCTATCAAAATCAACATCCACGGATACCGCCTGTGTCTCTACCAATTCGTCGTTCTTGGGGCCGTCCGTTCCTTGACGACAATCTCACCTCACGATGCGGATACTTTGACACCTCCGCGTTCCGAGAAGGAAAGCTGTCCATCCTAGACCAGGAAAAGCAGTGACCAGCACAAGCTGGATGGTGGATCAACTAGACCAACAACGCACACACGCACACACACATTTCAACGTCAGAACCAAACGCGATTGCAACTTTCGCCATTACAAAGACGACTATCCGGTAATCCGCCAGCTTCCCTTCCACAACGAACATGCCATATCCCATTCGTCGAATCGTCTTATCGTGGCTATTATTGTCGCGAGCTTGACATTTGCCTTTCTTCCCGCCCACACATACGCTACCTCGGCCGCCCTCGATCCAATCGCGTCCATTCTCACGCCGCGAATACGCCCACTCATTTGCGCCCACTTGAAAGCACATGCAGATACCCATGGACTTCCCCTGAATCGATGCAGACACCAACTTTTAGCATCCAGAGGCCCGTGCCATACGCTGGATTGCGCCACCTTTTCCGCCACCTCGTGCCCATCGCTTATTCGCTTGCTTCGACACCCTCCTGCCAGTGGTTAACATCACTACACAGGAAAGCCTCTCCCCTCCCGAGTCCCAAGCTCCCACACCTGACGGCCTGCGAGCGGAGCGAGTGTCCATCGTGGGATTACAGGACGGCGGGATGGAACATAGTCTGTGTTTCTAGGTCTCGCGGGCCTGCTATGCGAGGGACCGTCGAGCACCACGAGGCTTATGACATTGACAGTCCCTTCCCCCTCGCTACCAAGTCATCTACGGTGTTTGCGCCCTTCTTTGGAAAAGATGTTCATGTCAGAATCAGGATTCCAGGAGCCCCGGGCAACCAGGACCCTCATGTTCCACTCGAGCGATGCGACAGATCATCGCGACAGTGGCACTCATTGCCATTTCTCTCTAAAAATTCGACTATGAGACCAGGCAGTGAGGCACTCTCTCATCTTAGAGATCTGCTTGGCCCCCAAATGCCGACGTCTTATTAGCGATGGTAATTAATTGTCCGTGTTTGGACCTGCAGGTCTGTGACACCACCAGCCCTTTTGACGGCGGAGTCGACACCGACGCGTTGCTGACGACCTGGCTCAGTAATGGAGGTCTCGCGCTCTACCAATCGCTTCGCCCAAGAACCATTGGATTTCCAAAAACTTTGCACTACAACAGACGCTGCAACACACCGCCTTCGTACGGGCGTCATTGACTTAGTGTACTGTACAAGTAGGCAAGGAGTTCGACGGGAGAAGGTGTCCCGGCCACCACCATCACCAGTCCACCACACCACCGCAAGCTGCATCCCCCCGCGTGATCGCTGGTCACTTCCAATGACATTCCAACGGCTTTGCTTACAATCTATGCATTTGCGGAACACGACCTTCTCCCTGCTTCACTGGCCAACAGTTCCCCCTTCGAGTAAGGGCGAGCTCGGCCCCCATTCCCACTCGCATCCAAGCCCGCCTTCTAGCGACTCAATCTCCAACACTGGCGGCCCCCATCCTGATTGATGTTCGCGCTAAACTGACAAAACCTAAAACACACCGACAGAGCTTCCATGTCATTAGTTTCCTTGCCGTCGTGCCAGTCGGCGTTCGTCAAGAAGACCCTCACGACCCTTCTTCACCTCCGACGTCAAGTCAACGTGTCAAAGCGCAACCTGTTCGCACTCCGCAAGTCCACGGCCTGCCTGCATGACGAACATTCTTCGGCGGATCGCTTAAACGTCTCCAGCTTTTGCCCCTTCGCCGCGAACCGGCATTGCGACGGGGCGTGGGTGCCTCCAAGGCCCCTTTCTTGGCGTGTCAACCCTTCGCGTCAAGGAACGAAGGTTTCGGTCAATCAGCCAATCTTTTCAAGCCAATTGGGGTTACACGATGGCCACAGGCCGAGAATAGCGCGTGGTTTCGTAAGACTAGAGCAGCTTTCTAAAGTCTGACAACTCGGCTCACTCTTCAAAAGCAGTCGTTCCCATCTTGCAGCTCTGGGATCAGGATCCTCTTGAAGATGAGCCGGCTCCGTCGATCAGTAGATCACCAATCCCTCTCCATAATCGGCCGATAATGTCGAATCTTGCATTGCGTTTGAAGCGAGCTGCAATTCTCCAGATCATCTCGGCGAGCCACCTCTCCGTGTCCCTCGAAACAACGTCGCCTGCTGTCAGCGCCGTATATTCGGTCCTCGCACGTCCGCGGCGGCCCCCCACTGCAAGGACCATCCCAAGTTCGGTCCCAAGTCGGCGACAGGACTTACTCTCCTTCAATCTTTGCGCATTGCGTAGGTTGTATTTACCCGCCGTTGCATTCTCGGTCCCCAAATCCGCAGGTGGGTAATACGTCCAGTGTTAGTTTCTGTAGTTTAGTACGCTAGATCACTTCATGTCACTGTCGTTCGAGTGAGGTACTGTTTCAGGAACGAACACACTATCTCTTTGCTTCATTCTTACTCGCTCTTGTTCATTCGACGAATGACAAAGTCACCGAGCTCGAAGATGGATTCCGCACGAGCGACATGATCATCGCCGGCACGTGGAAACCTTGGCCGAGCTTGGCTTAGGCTGCAAATCTTACGTGGATGATACCACACTGATATGCCAGTGCATACGGACACGACGGAAGCTCGTGTCGCAACGCAATCGAGTGGTTGGATTACCATAGTGGTACTCTGGATCTCCGAGCCATCAGGATAGGCAGCATCGTGGCTGGCGGTCCTACTTGATCAGACGCTCAGGCTTCGTCTCGAAGGCTCTTATTTCCGTCTTCGAGACGACGGTTGCTCTGTGGACGGGTGGATGCACTGGTGACTCTCCAGATGATGGTTGACACAGCATATCATATATGTAGGCGTTGAATTGAGTCCCGGAACAATGGGCACTGGCAATAGCAACCAAGTAGTTATCTGTAACGACCAATGCATATGTACTGATGTGTGTCTAGAGCCTGAACTTGAGTTGGCAGTGCGCGTCTCTCCATCTCAACCCCTCTACGTAGTCCAGATCACGTCTTTCCAAGTCTGCCTTTGAAGCATCGCGAATCCAATAGTTGAGAAGTCTCTCACCCCGGCCGTCACTATTTCTTATAATACTGCGTCATATCATGGGCAAGCCCCAGTATACCCTATACAAGTTGGCATATCAGTTCATCACTCCGCCAAAAGCTAGCCAGGATAGAATAAGGGTGAGAAACACCAAACAAGCATACCAGTTGGAACGTGACGGCAGCCTCGTCAGCCTTGTCCGCCTCACGCATGGCGACAATCCCTGGGTCGTTGGCCTCGACCTTGTCCGGGTCCGAGGCCATCCTCTTGAGGTTCGCCTCGGAGACCGGATTCGTGAACTGGTTGAACTTTTCTCGTCGGTAGCGGTCGTACTTGTCGAGTATGTCGTCGTCGGCTCGGCCGTCGTGGATGCCTGCTAGACAGTCGAAGAGGTCGCCTACGTCGACGATGCCACCCGTGAGGCCCATGCCGCCGCTGTGGAGGCCGAGGGCCGAGAGGTTAGATGGGTGCCAGGCAGGATATTCCTTTCTCTCTTTCTTCGTCTTCCCCTTTGTCTTCCACCTGGGTCATGGGTACGAAGGGCACTTACAACGGGTTACACAGGTGCGCAGCATCCCCGGCCAAGATGAACCTCCCCACGCGCATCCGCGGCGCGAGACGCTGGTGTACCTTGTAGGGGCTAAAGTTGACGATCCGGTAGTCGTCGGCCTTTGGGTTCCCGGGCAGCATGGTTTCGTATTTCGCGGGCTGGCGGGCGCGGTACTCGTCGTGGCTGAGGCCGGGGACCTCGCCGTAGCTGACGCGCCAGAGGCCGTCGTCTTGGATCTTGGCGGCCATGAAGTAGTCCGTTGGGTGGATGACAAAGTTGGAGTCTCTCCAGCCGTACTTTTCAAAGTCGTAGTAGACCTTTTGTTTCTGTGTGTTTAGCATCCTATTCGCTTCTGGGGCTGTTTGCCTTTCTGCCGCTGGCCTCTCTGTGGGGAAGGAAATGGAGTTTTCACTCACGTTTGTGGCAATAATTTGCAAGTCCCACGTATACCCAGGGAACTCGTCCCCAAACAGCCGTCTCCGGATAATGCTGTTCGCACCATCGCACCCAACAACATAATCAGCCTCCAGCTCCTCGGCCCCCTCCTCCGTCTTCACAACAACCACCGCCCTCCCCCGGCTCTCCTCCTCCCGGATCCCCTCAACCTCGCACCCCCACCTCACCTCCGCCGCCGGCTCCTTTTCGAGATCCCCCAGCGCCATCTTACACAGCGCGTTCAACGGCAGACACGAGATCCGGTCCGGGTTCTCCGCGCCGAGCCTGCTGTTCTCGATCTTGGCGAGGACGGTGCCGTCTGGTTTGCGCCAGCGGGCGCCGCCTACTTCGATGCCGTGCTGCCTGACGCGGGCGAGGAGGTTCGCGCGGGAGAGGACGCGGTTGGCGGGGGCGGCGTAGTGGGTTGCGCGGGGCTGGGTGTCGAGGGAGGCGGATTTGTCGAGGAGGAGGACGGGGATGGAGTGGCGGGCGAGGAGGAGGGAGAGGAGGAGGCCTGTTGGGCCTGTGCCTATTACTATTACCTGGGGTCGGAGGGTTAGTTGAAGTGTAGGGTAGAGGAGAAGGGTTGGATATGGGGGATTTGCGGTGTGATGGTGTTGGTTTTACTTTTTTGATACCATGGTGGTCTTGAGATGCCATGTTTGATGAGTTGGATGTGGAGGAGAGGGTCTGATTTGGTAGATGCTTTGGCAAAGGCTCCTTTAAGAGAAACACTATTCACGGCTTTGGTATACGAAACTTGATCTGTTACTGCTCGTCATGAATGGGATGTTTGGCGATGAATTATAATCGTTATTATTATTCGAGTTTTCTAGAATCAATACCTTGTCACATAAAGCCAGCTTGGTGGAGGCAACCAAGTTTCTCCTTGTACTTGACGTCAATAACCCCTTCTTACCCTCTTCATTGAGAGTCTTCAGCAAGAGAACGGGTTATGCGGGATGCCCACGGGCGTATGACTTTGTGGGGTAACGAAGTGGGATGATGTCCGGGGGCGGGTAGTGTTGATTAGTCCCTGGGGGGGGGGGGGGGGGGGGTGGGGGGGGGGGGGGGGTGTGGGGGGGGGGGGGGGGGGGGGGGGGGGGGGGGGGGGGGGGGGGGGGGGGGGGGGGGGGGGGGGGGGGGGGGGGCTGTGAGGTAGCTTGGAGGTCTAGAACGAATCGAGATGAACAGAGACTGAGCTTTCTCTGCAATGAAAGAGCAATTTGTGTTCCGTTGGTTGGTTATGCGAGATGTCTATCCTTTTACTTCGCCAAACCTCCCCACACACTCCTGCCCGGAAGTGCGGGAGGACGGTGCGTAGACCAAGTTTTTCAAGGCCTGTTCTAGCTGGATCATGAAAAGTTCAGTTTCGAGCTGACTTTGATATACTCTTACGATGTGTTCGAGCTGCTCTTCGTCTGCCTTCTCCCAACAAGATCTTGCTTGTATCCGGCGTCGATCTCCGCCTCATACACTCATGACCGCCACAATGGACTTCTCCAAATTGAATCTCTCCCACCCGCCCCTCAAAGACCTAACAATATCCAACATCACAGAAAACGTCCACGTCATAAACTCCAAATGCGCCGACGTCCGCACGCGCCTTCTCCTAGACAAGCTCGTCACCCACCTCCACGACTTTGCCCGCGAAACGAACCTCACCACCGCAGAATGGGAGACCGCCGTCGCCTTCCTCACAGACGTCGGCAAGACCTGCACCTCCGTCCGGCAGGAATTCGTCCTCCTCTCCGATGTCCTCGGCCTCTCCCTCCTCGTCGACTCGCTGGACCACCCGAAACCGCCCGGGGTCGGGGCGACGGAGGGTACCGTCCTCGGCCCGTTTCACACCCACGAGGCGAGGGACGTCCCGCACGGGGAGATGATTTCGAGGGACGGGGATGGGGAGCCGATGCTTGTTGTGGGGACGGTCAGGGACACGCGAGGGGTGCCGATTCCGGGGGTTAAGGTTGATGTGTGGGAGACGGATTCAAAGGGGTTTTATGACGTTCAGTATGACGGGTACGAGAACCCCGACGGACGGGCGGTTGTCAGGAGCGATGAGGGGGGAGGGTTCTTTTTTCGGGCGATCGTGCCGGTGCCGTATCCTATTCCGGGAGATGGGCCTGTTGGGAGGTTGTTGGCGACGTTGGGGAGGCACCGGTACCGGCCTAGTCACTTTTATTTCATGTTCGATAAGCCTGGATATGATCGCCTCATCACGTAAGTTCTCTTTGGCATTTTGGCATGTTCACTCTGATATTGGGGTTTCTTTCTGACGCGGACACAGAGCTTTGTATCTTCGTGGAGATCCGTTTGAGAGGTCGGATGCGGTCTTTGGAGTCAAGGAGTCGCTGATTGTGGACTTGAAGACTGTCTCAGATGTTGATGGGATGGCTCAGAAGTACGGTGTGAAGCCGTCGACGCGGCTTTTGACGCATGATTTTGTGTTGGTTTCGGAAGAGGAGGTCAAGGTCTTGAGGGAGTCTAAAGCAAGACAGCAATTTGTTAAAGACGAGTAACATAGATGATATTGGCAAATGGGAACCCCATTTTGTAATTTGAGATCGTAGTAGTACAAGTAGACTTGAAAACTTCGATTACGTTGTGGTATCATATCGCCAGACCAAATCTAGCACTTTACTAGTGAAAGATTGAGAGAGACTCGGCTTGGTTGAAGCCTTTTCAATGACTCTTGTCCAAAGTACAAGTTCAGGTTGGCTGGACCTTAAGATAGGCACTTTGTCGTAAGTCTTTTTGTTGAGGAGCACGACTTACTGGCCATATATGTGCATATACCCGAGTGTTTCATCTGCAGATTCTCATTACAACAAAAATCTGGTGATAAAAAACTGTTAGAAAGCAATGTCTTGGAATCTAGTGCACACGCACACAATTAATTTTCTCCAAAATAGTTTCTTTTGAAGATCGGTTTCAACTTTTCTGAGTCTTGCCATACCATAGGTTGACTGACATACGGCGGCCGGGCCCCCGGCATCAACATCAGTGCCAGCGACAACTAAACTCGCTTCGATGGACCAACGATTCAATGCTGTGGATCCCGTCGCCTATGGCCAAGAACTTACAGTGCAACACAAAGGATCTGCAATGTGATTCAAAATGTGACCGCAATGCTCGGCAACGTCCAAGTCCGTCGCCAATATCGGGAGTCAACCCCCTGACAAGAAAGTGGAGTAGCATCTCAGTGGTGGAGATATCCCACACCACATCCCACATTGCCTAATTGAGATGTGTTAGTTCACGTTTCAATTCCTCAACCCACCGTGCTATGCACAGCAGCAGGAAGTTGATGACTTCATCTTACACTACAAAGTGGAGAGGACTTGAGTGGACGCGGTTATTGAAAGTGTTAAGCATAAGTTATAGTCGTGCCGATACGATAAGACAAGAATGAAGAAAATCCCTGATAGCAAAGAAGTAATTAGTCCAAAGCGTAATCCTCACATCAGCCAACAATCATTTGAACCTCAAGATGGCGTCCAACTCTCAGATTCAGAAAGCAACACAACCTTGGTGGGATGACGGAAGCGAGAAGCACTTCGTCCCTCTGGCTCCCGCCGTCCCTATAGACCCGGGCGTCAATACCTGGTCCCGCTTCGGTCCAACCTTTGAAGCCTACGAATACTCGGGCTGGATCGACGAGAGCGTCTCCTGGAAGACGGACTGCTATATTGGCGACTGGTCGCCGCTGCTCAAAGCTCGCGTCACCGGCCCGGAAGCGCAAGCCTTTTTCGAACACATCTCGACCAACCGCTGGCCCAACTTCAAGCCTGGACAAGCGAAGCATGCCATCTTCTGTCAAGATAATGGGTCCGTCGTTGGCGAGGGTCTGGTTTTGATGCTCGGAAAGGATGATTTCCTGTTCACTAGCGGCCCCGGAACGGTCTGGCTTGTGTATCAGTTTCAACAGGGCAGAAAGAAGTTTGATGCCACTCTGCAACTGGTCACTGATGACTGGTTCCTTCTTCAAATTCAAGGTCCTCGGAGTGTCCAGCTGCTGAATGAGGTGACGGACAAGGGTGTCCGGGATATCAAGTTTATGCATTACAAGGAGCTCTCGATCGATGGAAGCAAGTTCCTTTGTCTGAGGCAAGGTGTATCCGGCGAACTCGGTTTCGAGCTTTGGGGGTCGACGAAAGATGCCAAAAAGATTTACGGTTCTATCGTAGACGCTGGCAAGAAGCACAATATCCGGCAACTGGGTGCTCGCGCAAAGATGGTGAATCACGTAAGTAGATTTTGCCCTATGCTCCCCATCAACAACTTCTCTTGACACGTGCCTTCTAGGTTGAAGCCGCGTTTGCGACTCCGGCCGCAGACTTCATTCCGGCTGTACACGCGCCCGCAGACGACCAGGAACTTCTCCAGTTCCGACAATTCGCGCGAGACATCGGCTTCGACTTTGACCACTATCTCTCCAAGGCCAGCGGCAGTCACGGCGCAGACCCTATTTCCTACCACTTCACGCCATTCGACCTGAACTGGGGCTGGCTCATCAACTTTGACCACGACTTCATCGGGCGCGACGCCCTTCTCAAGCTCAAAGACAGCCCACCGAACCAGCTGGTGACGCTGGTTTGGAACGCGGAAGATGTGACTGACGTTTTTGCGTCCCTCTTTCGGCCGGAGCCCTTTGAGTATATGGAAATGCCTCGCAACCTGCTTGGCAATGTTGTTGGCAGTACTGTTCTGCGCGAAGGCAAGACGATCGGGTGTGCTGTTTCTCGGTGCTACAGCTACTGGTTCAAGGAGATGGTGTCACTGGGGATTGTTGCCAAGGAGCATGCTGCTCCAGGGACAGTTATTGAGGTGAAATGGGGGTCTGAAGGATCTCCCGTGAAAATCATCAGGGCGGTAAGTACAGACACCATGTATTTTCTCGCGGCTTGAGTATAGTAAGCTAATATGAGATACAGACAGTGCAGGTTGCGCCGTACAAGGAGGACAAGAGACGACACTCGATTCAGAAGTAGGTGTGCGTACCTACATAAGGATCACTGGTTCAGCTAGTCAAGAAGTGCATCAAATGTTCGCATGGTGGATCTCTAGCTATATCTCCATATAGAATCATCTCAATATCCTCGCTGTGTCAATGAAAGATGAGCCCTTAGGCAAATCTACGTAAAACAGAAATTTGTATCGACTCCTCTCATTGACATACAACGTCAAATCCCCCCTGTCTACTACATAGTCATCGACTTACATAGATCGTGCGCATGACTTACTCGGACAATTACCCCGCGCGTCATTAGCCTGCAGCGGCCCGCCCGCCGGCCCCGGTTTGTGGAGGCACCAAGGATCGGACACGGAGGCTTAAACAGTCCGTCCTTTCGTCACCAGCACTTTGACCTTCAAACTCTTACTCCACGCTTTTGGTGGACAATCAAGCCAACGTCACTCAGAAGCGAACGCCTCCAGTTCGTCGACCGCGTGTTTCGGCTATGGCGTTCTCAACGGCTCCTGGAATGTCTGTCATCTCTTTCCGCAAAGAGGCAGGAGTTCAACACCGATGTCGGATTTGTCCAAAGACGTTCAAGCGGAGCGAGCATCGCAATCGCCATGAGCGAGGCCGTTGGGTTGTCCTCTCTAAAAAGTCTGGAGTTTCGGCTAAAGACAAGTAGATTCACAAGAGAAGCCGTTTTCTTGCCGCATATGCAGCCGACGCTTCGCTCGCAAGTGAGTTTGTCTGGGCTGGGATCTCGAACAGCACTTCACTACTGACGATATCTTTGCCAGTGATCTGGTTACTCGCCATGAGAAGACTTTCCACCGAGACCAGTCGCAACCCGGTGCAACCTCTAGTTCAGAGAAGTCATCCTCAAGAAATGCCCAAGTTGATGAACCACCGTCTATGATCACTCCAAATGAACAGAATCAAAGTTTGCAGGGCCACACAGGACCATCGAATGAGCTGTCATCTGAAGGAAGCCTACCTTCGGTGAATGCCGACGGGCCCAATGTATTAGGGGATATTCCTCAATTTGGCTGTGACATCATGTCCGAAGTCGAGAATTTTGATTTCAGCGATATTTCGCTTGAGTTCTTCGATCCATTCTTAGGTAGAACCTTTGATCATTTCGCCTTTCCAGTACTCGAGGATGTTCCCGAGCAGCTCCAGCCACCAGTACCAAGTTTGCCTCAAAGCAAACCCTCAGGCTACCAAAGCAATCCTTCAGATAGGGGAGAAGAAATTCCAACGCTATCGCAAGGACATACAATAAGCCAAGGCGCACTCAGGCCTCGACGAAGGTGGTCACCACGGATACTCAAGTCAACGACGGCGAAGAACCACAAAGTCGTTTTCACAGAAGAGATGAGAGCTCACTGCTTGGCTGATATAGAGTTACATCTCACCAAAGCCCAGCTTGGGGACTTTCAATTACCACCCGTTGCATGCTTGCAGCAATACTTCAATTCCTACGTGGATGCCTTCCACATACACTTTCCCTTCCTGCACCTGCAGACTCTGGAATTAGAGAAGGTTCCTAGTCCACTAGTCCTAGGAATATGCGCCATAGGTGCCCTCCACAGACTTCAGAGAAAGATGGCCTCGTCGCTCTATCTTACAGCCGAACGCGTCCTCGCGAGCATAGACTTTGAGCGACTCCAGGCTATCCCAGAATTATTGGATGACTGGGCGAGACCTCGAGACTCACCACCACCAGACCAGGGGCCGCTGGTACTGGCCCAGACGCGGTTCATTCTCGTCTTCTTCGCATCTTTCAGCAGTGAGCCGCGGTTGATACGTCAGGCTCTCGTCGGCTGTGGCCATCTATCAGCAGTGCGTGTGCAGATTTCGAGATATTCCTTCCACGCGCTTACAGATCATCTCAGGATTTTCGGTCAAGAATGGCCCGCGCAAAGCCTGGTTCAATGAAGTTGAACCTCTCTCAGTGGCATTCTTGGGTCGAACATGAGTCGATAAAGCGGTGAGAGCACCTATTCTTGTCGAAGACTTCGCCGCTGGCTGACATCATCAAGTCTCATGTGCTGCTGTATGGTTCTCGGTAATCTTCTCGTCATAGCCTACGGTATCGTGCCAGGCTTCGCAGCGCTAGAGGAGTGCAACATTGAGATGCCCGCTGAAGATGAACTATGGGATGCCATGAGTGCTTCTGAATGGAGGTCGTCTCTGCAAAGACGACTGCCTTCTTCGCCCCTAGGTCTTCGTCAAGCAACAGCTTGGATATTTGGTAACAGCGCACAGGAAGAAAGACTAGACGCAAGCTGGACGTGGTCACCATTCGCAGCGTCAATCGTGATGCACCAAGTTGCCATCGTCGTTTGGTTCTTCGCCCACGGGAAAGAGGCTTGCTACGGAACGACACAAAGCTATCGAGAAAGCCACCAGTCTGACGCCAAGAGAATAGAGGCTGCTCTATCGAGGTGCAGAGATCTGCTAACCGAGACACGCGATGGCAACGACGGCACATGGACTGAAGCTGACGGTCCATTGTTGTTTAACGCATTTGCCGTTTTGCGTGTTTCGTACGGCCGAGCGTTCATCAACTTCCAGTCGTTAGATCGCTCGCTACTCTTTCAGGAGAGTAGCCAGGATATGTTAATCATCTTGCAACGCTACTTTGACGCTGCTCAAGAGCGGGATGGTTACATGACCATGGCTGTCGACTGTGCTCTGGAAGGCTTTGCGATACCCATTCGAGCCGGAGTCTTGCTCACGCAAAAGACGGCGGCGTTGAAGTGGAGTGTTGAACATGCTTTGGCGGGATGGGATGCCGGTATGTCCTGATGCTTTCGTAAAGTTTTCGCCATGACCAAGACGTTTTTGTACTGACCTTGTCAGCCCTTCTAGTAACGAAGTGGGTTCATACGGTCGAATGTCTGCAGTCTACGAGTGGAAAGACTACGCCAGAAGAAACAAAGGTCCTCGATAACGTTCGGTATCTTCTCAGCCAGATTGACGTTGATCGTTCTCCATCTTGTTCTCTCGCTGCGGATCTTGCTCGTGTCTGGGCTGGACTCTATGACGATACTTGGGTTTGGGGTGGTGAGTATTACTCGAATCTATCCTTGACTTCCTATTGCTGAAATCCAATCAATAGTCGCACCCCGTATAAGCTAGGTTCTCCGCGAGCTTGCCAAGTTGTATGAGCAGGACGCTTCTGGTATCTAGAGGCAGAAAGCAACTTAATGTAGTTCCCCGTCTTCTGTTCGGCAGTGGTGCTGTTATGTTGTACTTAAGTACTTGCCTTATGCTACCGTGTCAAGAATATAAAGCGTAAAGAAAACTCAGAAATTATTCTCGGTAATAAATCACGCTTCTGACTAGTACTGTTTCCATCTCGTAGCAACGTCTCCATCTTTATATAATAATTCACAAGCAGACACATCACGGGGCGTATCTTATGCACGGCATTTTTGCGTAAGATAAACCAAGATAACACAATGGTCGGCAGGAAAACAAGGAGGGCTCTCAGGCAGGCCCATTCAGCTATCTTTCTTCTCATTCCGGTTGCCTGTCCTGCGGTTCCTTGAGAATATCGAAGTTCCATCTGCCCCAGTCAAAAAAGCCCCCTCCATCCCACATTGCCTAATTAGGCAACAAAACCATCCCGCCCCAACAACAAACGCCGTAACGGTCACACGAACCCGAGCTAAGACATGCCACCGACATGGCACGAATACTGTTCTCATTATGGCAAGCTACAAAGGGCCGGTAGCTCAAGTTCAAGGGATATGGCAGCTCTTAACTGACGTACACTGTGAGAACCATCAAGAGCATTGCCAGCTCAAGACCCCACCTTAATCCCACCACCGGTGTGACTCTCCGTGCTCGTATGTATGTACGGACTACGGAGTCTTGAAGTGCGATGAGAGCAGAGTTTTCCTTGTTACAGGGAGACATACATGGCAGTGCCAAGTTCAGATGATATATACGACGAACTTATTGGACCATGGCGGTCAAAACCTCTGACAGCAGACATCGAGTACGCGGCGGATGCCCAAGGTACTCCACTCGATGACATACAGCCCGGCCTTTAACACGGAGATCTTTGCCCCTGATAAAGACAGTAGTAGGTCCAGGGACGGGCCGACCTCTGCACCTCAAGTAACAATCGGGATGTCGCGGTGTGATAGGACTCCGATCAATGTTGTATAAAATAGCCCTAAAGCAATCATTTTCCCGAACTCGCTTACCAACTACCGACCAATTTGGAGGACAACTTGACTTCAATACCAAACCCACTACGTTGAACATCAACATGTCGCTATCCTGGAGCAGCTGGCTCGCCACACTAGAGCCGCAACAGTCAGCTCTCGGCCTGCTCTTTGTCGTCCTCTCCTTGACACTCGCTTATGTCTCCATACCAGGACGCCACGACCACCTCCCTTACATCAACCGGCCCCCAAAGTGGGATTTCCTTGGCCAGAAGACCAAACAACACTTCGTCAGCAATGCCCGAAGCCTGATGGCCAATGCTCGGGAGGCCTTCAAAGGCAAGCCCTACCGAATGTTCACCGACTTGGGGGATCTCATTGTTGTTCCGGCGCACCACGCCGATGAGATGCGCAATGAGCGATCTCTGGACTTCCTCGAAGCCTTTGTCGATAATTTTCACCCCAACATTCCCGGATTCGAGGGATTTACTTTCGATGGCCGAAAGGACCAGTTGCTTCACAAGACGATCAACAAGAAGATTACCAAGATGCTCAGTATGTCTCGTACACCTTGTCGGAGGTGCATTCGCTTACCAATTCCTTGTCAAGATGAGATCACTGCACCACTGTCGCTGGAAGCTGACTTTGCTACGCGCCTGATTCTTGGAACTTCGACAGGTAAGCCACTTTATGGTACGGAAAAAGGCTTAGCTAAAGGAAGTAGTTTGGCGTGAGATTCCGCTTCAAGAAGCGCTTCTCAACCTTGTCGCTCGTCTATCTTCCCGTGTGTTTCTTGGCGATGAACTCTGTCGAAACGATGCGTGGATCAAAATCACTGGCTCTTATAGCATCAACACTTTCTCAAGCGCAGAAGTCCTTCGACAGTACCCTTATTATCTTCGCCACATCGCCTGCTATTTTATTCCGCAATGCCGACTACTCAGAGAACAAGTTGCAGAGGCACGACGCGTTCTTAACCCGGTACTGGAAAAGCGAGAATGGGAGAAGAAGACAGCTTTGGCTGAGGGGAGGACTGAGCCTTCGTACAAAGACGCGATTCAATGGGTCATGGAAGAAGCTCAGGGCAGTACTTTTGACCCAGTAGGAGCCCAACTTGGTCTCTCTGTTGTGGCTATTCATACCACTACTGACCTCGCAACGGAAACGATGCTTCGACTAATGGTCAGACCACAGTTGATGGAGGATGTTCGTGCTGAGATTGTGGCGGTCCTCCGGAAGGAGGGCTGGACCAAGTCTGCTTTGTTCAACATGAAGCTGCTTGACAGTGTCATCAAGGAGGCGCAGAGACTTAAGCCGACAACGTCTGGTAAGTGACTTTGAACTCCTTTCAGGTGTATGAGCAACATCGACTGATTGTTCCCTAGCGACGATGAATCGGAAAGCCACTAGTCAAGTCAAGCTTCCTGGTGGATTGGTCCTTGAGAAGGGAGACCGCTGCATGGCAGACCTCGGCTCGATGGTGGACCCCAACGTATATCCAGATCCTCTCGAGTTTGACGGGTATCGATTCTTCCGGATGCGTGGAGACCCCAAGATGGATAGCAAGGCTCATCTGGTGAGCACATCAGTGTCCCATATGGGATTCGGCCATGGCCTACACGCGTGTCCTGGGAGATTTTTTGCCTCTAACGAGGTCAAGGTTCTCTTGTGTCACTTGCTGCACAAATACGACTGGAAGCTTGACAGTGGATTCGAGCATACGATTCATGAATTCGGCCTTTCCTTATCGTCGGGTAGCACAAAGGCTTTTGTCGCGAGGCGACAGAACGTGGAGATTGACATTGACGCGTGGTAAAGTGAGGAGGTTTTGCTCGGGATCCGGGGAAAAGGTCGATCATGAACAGAGAGAGTGTGGGCAGGCACTTGATAAAGTACTAAGTAGTAAAGGATACGGCGCAACTACGTGTATGGCATCATTTTCTGTAAATTCATGAGGAAGTCACCACAGCGACTCCGTTGTTGCACTATTCCTGGATCTTGTCCCTGCCGCCGGGGTCGATGTACGTGATAAGGGAGCCATCGTCGCTGCGTCATCCCATGTGGTAACAGGGATTGACCCTGCCGGCCGTCCAGGCAAGGGAATCGAGTCAAGAGCTATCCCAACGTCCTCCTTCTGGCTTTTGCCCATATCACCCCACCGATTCAATATCTCACCTAAGGCCGCTTAGACCGCTTGCTTGCGTCACTGTCCGGTCAATGAATCTGTATCGGGGGCTTCCATCGGAAGTCCTCCGGGACTTCCTAAGGGCCTCCCGGAACCGGCTTCGCATGAAGCCATTGTCAGTTTGGATAATGACGGCCCGGCGGGAGGCTTGGCTCCAGTGTTTAAATATCGTCTCATAGCCGTCTCTATTCTATCGTGAACGACAAGCCTGCTCTCAGCTTCTCATTCACAGCCAAGTCCTGTCTGTCCAAATCAGACGTCCACTCCTTAACGCCATGTTGCAACGACTTGCCATCCTCGCCTCGGCAGTGGGCATCTGCCATGTAACAACCCAGATCGTCACCGGTGCCACTCTTTTCGTCGGAGACTCGACGTGGCTCGCTCGAGGCCATCCCGTATCTGGGAAGTTTTCATGCGAGTGATGTCGTGTTGAACTTCTTTGGTACGCTGCCGGCGAACAATTCGCGCCATATGATGGGTACCCTGGTTGCGTTCGTCAACAACCTGGATCCCAACAAGCACAACATGAGCGATGTGCCTGCTTGGCCGTAATATGAGTCAACCAGTCGGTCAACAATCCTGTGGAGCAAGGCCGGCGCAGAGATTGTGGCTGATTACTAACGCGATGAGGCGATCACGTACCTGAATGAAATTGGGGAATCCTTGCGGATCTAAGTCTGCAGCCGGGAAATGATGCGATATATTATTTTGAATCGTGTCACATTTATGCCTGTATACATCTTATAATTCATGAAGGACTCCAATGAGAGCCGACTTCAGCGCAGTATGCTCTCGAACCAGAGCAAGCATTTTTCGCAGCCTGTGATCCGCTAGAATTTGTTGTCCATTTGCAGAACGTTTCGTTCTTAGTTGGGTTCACCCTCAAAACAGGATCTTCATCACTGACCACAAAAGGAACGCATCATGTTTTCAACTTATTCTTTGTTAACTATTAGCATGCTTGTACTTCTATGTACATTCATCTACGTATTACTACAGAGTGAGCCAGTCTTTTAACTGCAAGCTTCGTCCGCACCCTTAGGCGCCTCCTCGGTCTGCACCCCTCTCAAGAACTCTCCGATTCTCGTAGCCACAGCTTGTGCGCTCTCGGTCCAGCCAATAATGGCGCCCATCAGCAGCGTATCGTGAACAGCATTCTCCTCATACGATACTGTGACGCTGCTCTCGGCCTCCTGCATCTGCCGGCACCACGCAGTACCGTCCGTCTCAAGGATCTCAGCTTCACCCATCGACACGAACATAGGCACCTTGGTTCCCCAGGCGTTGCCAAGAGGCGTCACATACGGCATGTCCTCATCAGAAACGCCGGCCGAGTACACTTTTGCGCCCCAGCGCAAGAACGAGACGGGAAGGTAGTCGGTGCTCCAGTGCTCATGCTGCTTGTACACCGAATCCGGACCCAAGCTGGCCAAGGGGTTGACCCAGGGGGCGATGAGCACCGCGCAGCTAGGGATGGCAATTCCGAGGTCCGGTCCGTAGGTATCGAGGTATCGCAGCAGGGCGATCACAAGGTTGCCGCCCGCACTGTCGCCGCAAAGCACGATACGGTTGGGCGGGATATTGAGGGTCCGAGTCAGGTGGAGGTAACTGGTCAGGACGTCTTGCAATGCAGCGGGAAACGGGTTCGCGGCGGCCTCGGAACCGCTGCCGTAGCCTGACAACCGGTATTGAGGCGCAAAGACAGCACCGGCGCCGGCCTTTTCGATGAGCGTGTTTGCCATGAAGCCGCAATATCCCGTGCGGCCGTCACCCAGCACAAAGGCACCGCCGTGAATTTGCAGAACCACGTTGCCTTCGAAGCCCTTCTCGACGTCCGGCTTGGCCGGGAACCAAGTGCCCCCCACGGTGGTGGGCTTCACATCAGAGTTCGAGGCCAGAGGACCGAGGTAGAGATCTGAAGGGAAGGGGTCGGCGGTCTGGAAGCGGTCGCCCTCCTTTCCTGGCTTGAGGGTATGAGTCTCGGTGATGCCTACGTTCGAGTAGAGATTAACGATGCTTCGCGTCAAGCGCGCCATGAGGGCCTGTTTGAAGCCCCATTTCGGGTGAGGACGGCAGGAGGGAATCAGCGCCTTGATGGCCCATATCGGCAAGCAGGGGAAGAGAATGAAGAGGGCGCCGAAGATCTGATAGAAGATGCGTAGAGGTTGATAGGAGAGAATAGGGAAACTTCCCCCCTGAGTGCCGGCCATCGTGAGTGATCGCTGTGTAACTGCGACGTAAAGAGGCGAGTATCTTGGTAGAAAGTTACAGAGTTACAGAGATTTCGAGTGAGTATATGAAAGCCGCGGTACAACTATGTCGATCGATCACCAGGGTCACAAAAGGGGAAGCAGTCAGCAGAAGCCCATCAGACGGGTGCGATATATTGACGAGAGGATAACTGCGCTTAATACTTGCTGTAACAGATCGTCAATGATACAGGTCAGGCATAGTTCGTCTTCCCTTTTCCCATTCGAGAAAGCAATTTGCTGGGGGCAGCAAAACCCCATGAAAACTCTGCATGTTTTTCTGTTTCCGCGAACCACGATTTCTTCAGAGTTCGGGACTAGAGTCCGGCATCCAGGGGTGAGGCTCGACATTTCTAAGGAGTATTTCGTCCGACCTGGACCTGGTTGACAGGTCGAATTTCTTCAACGCGGCTCCGCTCAGATCCAATTCTCGATGCAAAATCAATCTCAATCATACTGCACCAGACATGAAGCCCGCGATTTGATACCTCTTGATAGGGTAATATTTGGTGATGGTGGACTCTTGGGGGCCTTGGCGAGTCATGTCCTTCGTTCGCGTGTGGTGTTGGAGTGGACAGTTGAATGGAGTCTAGTAGCACGGAGAGTGGGCGTCACCTGACTCGCAATTCCAAGTGACAAACGAATCTCTGCACCGGCAAGCAGGTCTCTTCGAGGCCAGCAGCTAAGAGGGTAGTATGCGCGGCATTGGCCCGTATGCGACTTTGCAAACCTACAACGGGCAATTCTCTCGCAGTCTTGTCCCTCGAGCGTGCGACGGCACCACTCTGAGGGCACAGGCATTACGACATGTTTCCAAAGTTTGACCATTCTAGACTGATGCTAGACTGATGTCTATCAACGGGGCGCGCGGCGAGGGGCGCGCCCGGCATCCCAAGGATCGAGACCGGACTTTGGTTCTGCCCCCCATGGGCCACTAAAGGAGCTTTCATCGTGCATAAACAATACCGTCCACCGATTCCCGCGATATTCGTCACCTTCCTGCTCTGGTCATTACATTTGACAATTGTTGGTTGGGTTTGTTGGCGAATCTGCTCTGTTTGACCGGCTACACGACTCAGGTCAAACCAGGGACGCTTCATGTTTAAATAGGAAAATGGCTTCGACGACGACATCGACGAGCAGCGACGATCCGCATACGGACACGGCAATCATCGCCATCAATGTTGTTCTTGCGGTGATAGCCACCATCACCTGTATCGGACGATTCTGGGCACGAAAGCTCACGGGTTTGGGATGGGGTCTCGACGACTGGCTGGCGTTGGTCAGTCTGACCATTAACCATGCCTTTTGTGCCACGACTATCGAGGCAACGGTCCACGGCGGCTTGGGACGAAGTATCGTTGATGTGATGGCTGAAGACCCAAATCAGCTGATCACGTTCTTGAAGGTTTGATGAAGTTCTTCCTCCCTATAGCACTCCGTCAAGCCGTGGAAAACTAACCCTTACTGCAGTGCGTTGTCGTCGCCGAGTTCTGCTACGGCTTTTCCTCGCCATTGATCAAGTTGTCTCTGCTGGCCTTCTACTGGCGCGTCTTCCCCACGCCGTTCATGCAAAAGGGCATCTACGCGCTCTCCGCAGCATGCTTGGGTTGGCTAATCGCCATCTTGATCACCAACTGCTTACAATGCCGCCCACTTGCATACACGTGGGAACAAACGACGAACCCAGGCGCGGGTACCTGCATCGATCTGATTCTCTACTTCGTTGGCAACTCGATCGCCAACAGTCTAATCGACATCCTCACGCTTGTGCTTCCGATCCGCGAGACCATGAAGCTACAGGTTAGCTCGAGCAAGAGAGTCGGCATCTGCTGCCTTTTCGCGCTAGGGAGTCTGTGAGTAGACCTCGAAAAAAAATTTGAACACACGTCTGTGGGCACAACCTAACAAAGTGAGACAGTGTAGTGGTTGCTAGTCTGGTGCGGTTCGGCTCGTTAGCCTCCCTCTACTCAATAGGCGTAACAGACATGACACGTACGTAAACACCCGCATCTTCTTCAACCACGAAACATTTGGCGCTAATTCGCTCAACTATTAGAACAATACGCTCTTATGTGGACCGCCACCGTCGTGGAGATCTACATCGCCATCATCGGCGCTTGCGCCGTCACTCTCGTTCCGGTTTACCGCAGGATCCGTTACGGCACGTCGTGGTCGACCCGGGACCAGAAGTCCAACCAGGTCTCGGCCGGGCCTGTAACCTTCGGAGGTACTGGCGGCAACTCGCGCACCGGCGTCTCTCACAACTTCAAGCGCTCCGCGAACCACGAGCGTCTAACTACCGGTAATGATTCCGAAGAGTATCTGCACCACGGTAGCAACATGAAGTACTCGGTCTCTGGGGCTACCAGAACCAGCAACAAGCGTGACGTTCTCGGTGAGGACTTGCCCATGGACACCATCGTCGTCCAGAGGGATGTCACGTGGGAAGAAGAGCGAAAGGAGAGGCAGCATGTTTAGGTGTTATAAGATACCATGTAATTTGTTGTATTTCTACTGATGGTAGCCTTTTCTTTTTGTCTTTGAACGCTGAACACGATACCGTTGGAGGGAATTGGAACTTGGAAGATACCTTAGTTACTTAGATTGTGCGATATAACTCGCCTCTAGAATAATCATATTCGACCCGTCTCGAACAGCTTCAAGTTTGCTCACATAACAACAACTCATGTGTCTTCGCACTCTGTCTTGCTCCGCCAGCCCTCATGTGGTGGGACTACTCCGTACACTCACCACCATCCACAAGCAGAATAACGTTTTGACTGTGTCATATTGGGCATCTTTTTCCCATTCGAGCATGAACACGTGGAGAAAGTTTCAAACCCATGGCCAGAGTCACGTCCGTGCCATTGAGAGAGTTTTGTTCGTTATCCACCAACGGAGGCCTGTTGCTCCCGATTTCAATATCGGCGGCATCCCGGTGCCGCGTGGTCCACCCTCGTAGAATGACAGCCAGGGGTCAACTTGATGCCCTGCGATGTTGAGACTCGTACAAGGGGTTTGCAAAAGGTATCGACATCCCATCGGTTGTCGATGCACAGTTACTCCGAGATGTACTGGATCAGTGATCAGAGACTATACCTAGAGATCGAGATAAGGAGTCAAGGACTCATCTTGGTACTCATTTTGAAGGGACATGCAATGCTGAACCTTCATGTGTCGGCCCCTGATCCGAACTCCGGAGAGTTTTCGAGAGAGTTTTCGAAGAAATCAACGTCGGCGTGGCAGCGATGACATCCATACACCGCCCAATATCGACCTGAGAGGGGTAGGTATTATCCAGACTCAGTGATCGTCGTCCACGTTGGGCGATTCTCCAAGGGTATAGCTCAAAAGGGGTAAATTGTAATTTGGCCTACCCAGACAACATATCAATGCCGTCACGCCCAACTTCAAGCGCCTGGCCGCCGTGGTGGGCGACTTCAGCTTCCAGGCGCAACAACGCAACCTTCTGGCACATTACAACGTCTCGGAGCAGAGTGTATGGAATTGCGTCACCGACTTGAGCAATCCTGTCGGCAGGCCTGCCGCCAGACTTCGGCGTATTGACGCACCTGCCTGTGCTGGGATCATTCCATGCCCTTGACGTGTGGTTCTACATGTTTGCCGGTCTGCCGTATGCGTTGAGCAAGAATACCCAGGCTTACCAGGCCACCGCCATCTCTTTCATCCGCACGCTGGACCCCAACAACCATGGTCTGGACTTTGCCAAGTGGCCGAGATACTCTGAAGAGGGCTTGGAGACGTATAACTTCAAGGAAAGCGGGCCTGATGTGACCAGGGACGACTGGCGTGTTGAGGCTATACAGTACATCACCGACCACCCTGACTCTTTCTTGCTTTAGAGACCTGTGCTCTGTTAATTGTGTTTCAAAGATGTCTCTGATCTCATTTGGTGTTTACTGAACATACTTCAAGTATAGATGTAGCCACGGCGAGATTGTCCATGAGCTTATTCTTCCTAGCCTGAAAGACGCATGTAGATAGCCAAGAAGAGAATTCACGTGCACCTAGTACTTAATATATCTATATTTCAACTTGCTTGGAGAGCTATCTATTTACCCCCTACAAGATGCTTAGTGCGGAATTAGGGTTTATTAATGGCAATATAATATTTTCCTATTTCATACACCCTCCTTACCTTATTACCACGCTTGGCTACACTCCGGGACGAGGATTGGTACGACAGACACTAGTAACAGACATGTACATATGTACATGAAAATTAAGCTCCTTAATTTGACCACAAGTACTTCAAAACTCAGAGACAGTCCAATGGCAATTTCAAGCATTAAGAGATTCACAACTCAACTTGGGCCGCCGGCGGCCAGGCTTTACGCCGTTTTGAATTACTATTCCGACAACGAGATTTGAACTCGACGTTAATTTATTCTGATGCTAGGTTGTAACTACACTCAGATACGATTCCTGTGTAATGAGAGTTCATGATAAAGTCTAATTGAAAGTCTAATGATTCAGAAATTGTCGGATTGGAAGTCCAATTAGACCGCGGCATACGGCCGACTGCGCAGGGGCCAATTGGGGGCCCTATTTACGATTATCGTAGCCAGCCCAACCTACGGTTGGAACCTCCTTTTTACATACTACGCAGATATTCATATAGTTCAATTGATCTCTTCGTCAACTACGGTTCGAACCAACTACCCTGTAATAGGGATACCAACAGAAATATAAGGCTAGGTCTGTCTGTCCAAACATCCAGTTATGTACAGTAATTACCAGAAACACAAGGGAGTGAGTGGGTTAGTCTCGATGTTGACTAGAGTCCGGATGACTACGCGCGGCAAAGACGTCCAACGGAGTCTTCTTGCCATTTATCGCTTCCCACACAAGTCGGGCAGTAGAAGAGCTCACCAGGGTCGTAGTACTCCTTGATGCACTGAAGCCTGTTGTAGTTGGCGCCATAGTAATCCACCTTCCAGTCCGGGTCAAAAGCATCACCCTCATTCATGTACGCTCCCATGTTCGGAGCCAAGGTCTTCATAGCGCCAATCTTATTGAACGTGACGTCGTCGTGAACCTCCTTGAAGCGGGCATCGCTGACGCCGGGGCTGAGAATACGCGCGACAGACTGGTGCAAGACGGCCGTACGCCAGGCGGGGAGAACGGCGGAGTACTCCTGAGCTGCGTCGGCCCAGACTTGGCCACCAGAGACGATGGAGATGACATTTGTGACGTATTCGCCCGTCTTTCCGGCCAGCGTCTCGACTAGACCACGGACGGCTGTGAAGTTACTGACGGCGTCCGTATCCAGGAGGCGAGATCCAGAGGCGGCCATGAGGCCGACGGGGTTGTTATCGGCGCTAACCTCCTGGAAGAAGGTCCAGTAGTCGCCATAAGTTACATAGCTCGAATTTACAAAGAGGGTGTCGTTGAACTTGTAAATCTTGTCGAGAAGGCCCTTGCCAGCGGCTTCTGCTTCCTCAGCGGTCTTGTTGAACACGTAGACGGCATGGGAATATGCCGTGGTGTAGTTGTTGAAGGAAGCAGACTGGCCGTCGGTCTGCCAGTGGCTATAGCCGGCAAAACCAGACTCCACCAACTCCGGGATCGAGGTGTAAAGAGTTGCAAGCGCATCCAGGAAAGCGGTTTTGGGGGCTCCGGTAGGGGCCGCAAACTGGAGGTTCTGAACGGCCACGGTGACCTGCGGATACGTCTTGACCGTAGTTGACACGACGACACCGTAGGAGCTGGGACCTCCGCCACGGATGGCATAGTAAAGGCCTGGTGCTGGCAAGCGTTGACCGTGACAGCAGTGCCATTGGCAAGGATGAGCTCAGCCTCAAGCACCTGGTCAGCGCCGAGACCGAAAGTATGGCTGGCCGGGCCGTGGCCGCCGCCCTGCATCCACCCTCCCGTGCTGCAGACAGTCGAGCTTCCTCCACCCACGACGACGACGTTGTTTTCCTTTGCGGCCGCGTAGCTCTCTCCCCACATGTACGCGCCGGAAAGCTTCATGGCGCTGCCGGTCCATCCTGAGGCTGTGCAGCCGGTGGAGGACTGGAAAGAGGTTTGCGGGGTGATGCCGTTGCGGAAGTAACGAAGCCAAATCTCCAAGCCGCCGAAACCGTCGCTGCGACCGAGTACGTCGTGCCCGGTGCTCTTGATCACGACTCTAAGGTTCTTCTCCTCTGCGAACTTGAGAGCTGCGACGATGTCGTCGGTCTCTGTCACGTTCACAGCATATACAGGGTTCGTGCCGAGGGTACAAGAGCCTCCTCCGGCGGTCGAGTTCGATGTAGGTTGAACGGGAGGGCATGTGATGTTCAGGGGGTAGTCCAGGCCGACGGGGTGCGATGACATCCATTCTCCCTTGTACCAGCCCACCATAACACTGGCGCACAATGTTGCGTCATAATTAGGACCTGGGTAACAAGAGATGGCGACCGGTTTGGTCGCTATGAGCTTCCCCGAGAGAGTAGTGTTGAACTGCTGCCAGTCACTTGTAGATGGCCAGCAAGCGTCGTTTGGTGCCTGTTGCAAAATGCCGTCCGAAGCGGCCTTGTGTCAGTCCATCTGAGACGAATAGTCGGGATGTTGAATTGATCCATCTTGGCGGGGGAACATAAACTTACACACTTGCATGAACTATTCGTAGCGATGGCACCAAATGCAAAGTTAAGTGCAGAAAGCGCCCGTATCAAGTTGTTTCGTAACATTTTGGATTTCTGCCGTGGAGGTGCCAAGAGCTGCAACGATGAACAAACTTAAAGAAGGTTTCAGTCCCAGGTGAGGAGTGTGATATCAGAGAGCTGGGAGATAAACCAGATATAGTCCTGTCGATATTCTCGTTGCCATCTACGGACAAGTTCTTATCCGTCTGCTAGCCAGGTCACGAGCCATGTCTTGTGCAAGCTAGGCATTTTCGATGCCGAACAACCGGTCAAATTTTGGATACGCCTCATTGGGTTGAAGTCATAACAACCACCCGAGTGCTAACACGGAGGCGAAGACGAGGCCGCGGATCGCGGTCAATGTGCGGACATTGTGCAAGACCATTGGCTAGGAGCTAGTGGCGGAGGTCGTAATAAGCTCTATGTGTGGCTGAGGACAGGGGACGCGAGAGCGAGGACGAGTCACGAGAGCGAGTTGGCTCCTTGGTGACTGACTAAGTACGTGATTTGCATGGAGAAGTAGAAGGTCACCCTACCTTTCATCTCCCTAGCCACTGCATTAGGATACGTTCTTATGGGGCACTTCCGAGGTGACTCTTATGTGGCGGTGGTTGAACTCGATGAACTAAGAAACGAATCTTCTTAGAGAGACATCTTGATACCAAATGTAGCACCAGTTTTGTTCACGCGTCACACCGAAACTTACATGACCTCCCAGCATGTCAGCAAGACTTCGTAGTCAAATGTTCATGGACGAAGAAGGGAAGAAAACATGCTAAGTATTCTGATTCAGAAGGACTTCTTCGAGATGAACGTGCAACAGGTACACCCAGCTCTGAAACAAGATCGAAAGAAACAAGCAGCTAAGATTGCCATCGATTTGAACAACAGCTGCGGGAAGAATCAAAGAGGGACGACCCACTGATAATTGCGATACCCACCAACTAGACCCGCCGAGCGACTCACTCGGCGAAAAGCTCCCTTGTACGGAGTGCCCCGGAATCCACCCTGGACGGCCCGGGAACCGTTACTGCCCGAAGCTAAGAACACCACATCGCGGATCGGTGCTTTAACTGCCGCCGCCCGCTGGATCGTCTCGCGGACTTAAGTTTCTGCGATCTAGCGACGAGGGGATAAGGGGGCGCAGGAACGAGGCGAGGTGAACCAAGCTCCTAGCTACTGTGTGACCAAGCTCTAATATGCTTCCCGGCCGACGATAGAGTGCGAGAGCGAGGTATGGATACACGCTGTTAGCGGCAACAATATAAATAAGCAACGACTACGATTAGGCAGCGTGGCAGCCAAGGGGCTAATCAGCGCATCCCGCACGAAGGTTTGTAAAGTCATCTATCCTAAATCCTTGACGCTAGCAAGGGGTTATGTTGATTATCTACCGGCGCAGGGCCATACAACGTGATGCCTTTTAGTAGCGCCTACACAGCCCGTCTTTAAACGTACGGAGTAATCCTGAGTCTCTTATTAGTAATTACTGCACTGGCTTGCAAGCGCAGGTTATAATTGAGTTCCGCGACCCCAGGGTTTTTGTGGGGGAATGCGACGTCAAGCCCAATCTTAATCATGTAAAACGACTGAGAGCGAGACCGAGACCGAGAAACTGGGGGAGCTGACATTGAGAAACGTTGCAACTCTGTTCACCACCCGGGCCCGGCGCAGCTACGCGAGCACGGCGTCGGTCAAAGTCTACGATGCTGTAGTCCGCAACGCTTCATTCGCGTATGGCGTTGCTTCAACAACAACTCGATTAGAGTTGCGAGGCGACATGCCCAGACATGAAGCGAATACTCTCATCCTAGCAGCATCGCCTCTGAACGTATAACTATTTGGAGTTTCCCGACAGTAGCAAAGATCTGTATCACTCTCCAATCAACCTCACCTTTCAATCAACTACTATCCTCGAGCATTCATTCAGTGTCTAATTCAAACAACGAGATGTCTATGCCAGCACCCTCCAAGCCCCTTGGGGCCCTTGACTTCAGCTCCGTCAGCTACGGAAATAAGGCCCAGCGCTTTACAGCACAGAGCAACCTCGCACGGCTGATCCTTGCCGATAAGCTACAGGTAATAACCCCACGAAGAGGTCAACCATTGGAGGGGCCCCTTTCACTAACACGAGAGTGACCGGGGTTTAGGCATTCCAAGAGCTCAAGGTACTGGCAAAGGTGACATTTGCCGAAGGCGACTTCACGGACCCCGATCCCGTCTACATCGACGCCCGCTCCAGCCCGGTCAAGCTCCTCGACTCGGCCCCCACCGACGGCGCCGAGCCCGCCTTTGAGCTTACATGGCGCCCAGAGCGCTTCGAGGACCTGGCCGAGGGCCGCGATGACCCGCAGACCGCCGTATTTATGTCGGCCGTCCCCACCAAAGGAGACTACCCCCTGGCCATCCGCTTCGCAGACCTCATCACTCCGAACCCCACGGATGCCCCGACGACAAAGGACGAGCTCAACCTCGACGAGCTGCCCAAGCCGACAGAAGATATCGAGCAGGTCAAGCGTGACTTGAGGAAGTGGGGTTATGGTCTGATGAAGAACGCACTCACTCCCGAGCAAGTCGCGATCCTCAAGAAGGGTGCCCAGGAGCAGGCTGCCGGCGAACGTAATGCTGGCGTGGCAACGTTCGATGGCGGCCCAAAGAAGCCCAACCAGCGCATCTGGAACATCTTCAACAAGGGAGAGGAGTTCCTCGACCTACTGAACCACCCCCTGATCGATGAGGTCGTGCCGTGGTACCTCGGCTGCAACAACCCCCTTTTGTGGTCCTACAACGTATGCACTCTTTCCATCCAACAAGAAAGGACAAAAAGACTAACACCATTACAACAGATCAACATCGCCCGCCCCGGCGGTATGCCTCAAGTCCTCCACTGGGACCAAGGTATCATGGGCCACGGCCGCACCAAGCCCTGCGCCCTCAACATCTCTTGGCTCCTGTGCGACTTCACGGAGAAGAACGGCGGTACCCGCATCTTCCCCGGATCTCACAACAAGAACGTCCGCCCCCGCAACGTCTTCACCAGCGAGGGCACAATCGCCTGCGAGGCGCCCGCCGGCACCGCCATGATCTTCGAGGGCCGCATCTGGCACGGCACGGGCCGCAACACCGAGACCAGCGGCGAGAGACCCTGCGTGCTCTCCCTCTTCACCCACCCGGCCGTCCGGCCCAAGGAGAACGCGCTGCTCTCGCTCAGCTGGGAGGCCGAGGACGAGCTCCTCTCGGAGCGCCACAAGTCGCTTGCTGCGCTGAGGACGGGTCAGGCTGGTGTTGGTGGCGCGTTGGGCGAGGCAAGGGAGGGTATTATTGTAAAGCGACCGCGGGATGACTTTACGACTGTGGGCAAGCTGAGGGCACCGCATGATGATGCGGAGGTGGCCAAGATGATCGAGACTGGATCTCATGCCAATAATGCGCAGTCTGCCGTCCGTGAGGCCGGAGGACTCGACAAATAATTCGCGAGACACATCTTCTGTACCTAAGTCTCTAAAGAAACGGTTCAGGTAGACAGGTTCGGATAAGGCATTTATACAGCAATACAAATGACAGCGGCAATTGAGCAAAATGAGAAGAACTTCGCATGGTCCGTGATGTCACACGTAGCACCACTTAAAACCATGTAATAAGAAGTGAAATGGCGTGTTTACTCATAATCTGACCTCGTCCAACCTCGTCCAAAGCCCTTTGCCGATTTACGAATGAGTACCGCGCCAAAATCTGACCGGGACCGAAAGCGCCTCGCTGCACGCTAGGAAACAAAAGCGTCATTACTCTATCCGTGGACGAATGTCTGACAAAGACACGGGGATAAACTGGCGATAAGACCATCGGTCCATTGCGTCGTAGTTAGCGTTTAAAGCCGGGCCAAGACCTAACATATCTCACTCAACCAACTCCATATGCTCTTTTCAACTTATACAACTTCAATTACAGCCCGCGATCCAACAACATAAGTAAAGTACTTACTTAGGCTACAGTGACCCTCTTGAGAGCCGCCCATCCTCGTGCTCATCTACTGAATCCCCTTCATCTCAACAGACCTCAACCGAAACCCAACAATGTCGTCAACAAAAGGTCTCGCCCTAGTCACTGGCGCAAACGGCTTCATCGGGGCCCGGACAGTTGAAGCCTACCTCCTGGCCGGCTACTCCGTCCGCGCCGCTGTCAGGACCCAGCGCTCCGCAGACGAACTCACCGCCGCCCTCCCCTTGCAAGCCGCATCGGGCCAGCTGTCCACAGCCATCGTCCCAGATATTACCGTCCCAGGTGCCTTTGACGAAGCACTCAAAGGCGTCACCTCCATAGCCCACCTCGCGACACCCGTCAGCTTCACCAACACAAATGTCGAGGAGGTCCTGGGGACTGCCGTGCAGGGCACGCTCGGCATCCTTGAATCAGCGGTAAACGTGACCGGCCTGAAGTCATTCGTGTACATGTCGTCCATCGTGGCGATCCGCGGCTCGAGTCCCAAGTTCCAGGGGCGGGTTGTCTCGGAAGCGGACTGGAACGACGAGGCGGAGGGGATTCTCGAGAAAGCGGGCTCCGAGGCGACGGGTCACCAAATCTACGGCGCCAGTAAGGTGAAGGGAGAGCGCGCTTTCTGGGACTTCAAGGAGAAGAATAAGGACAAGATCAACTTCAGCATGACGGCCGTCAACCCCGTGTGGGTTGCCGGCCCTCCGCTTATCCTCCCCGAGGACCCGAAGAGGCTGAGTGATACTGCTATTATTGCGTATCGCGTCATGAGCGGCGAGGAGGTGCCGCCTGTGGGACCTGGCAACGGGACGCACGTTGATGCCCGGGATGTCGGGCGTCTTATTGTGTTCGCTGCCGATAGACCGGACGTGGCTGATGGGCAGCGCTTCATCGCTGGTGGGAACGGTAACTTTGCCAACATTCAGGCGTATTGCGACCTGTTGAGGAAGGCGTACCCTGAGAGGAGGGATATCATCCAGGAGGGAGAGCCGGGGAAGGGGTATCTGGAAGACTACGGCGAGCCACCTGAGTCACGAAGGGTCGATGCGTCGAAAGCTTCAAAGGCGACTGGACAGGGTTGGATCACTTTTGATAAGATGATTCTGGATGCGGCCAAGGCTTATGAGAGGTATTTCTAATTGTTCATTTTGGTATTTTGCTGGGCCATGGCACAGGTTTTCATCATGAGAAAACGTCCGAAGAAGGGGCATGAGCTGCCCTGAGAATCTACAACTCTAGTGATCTATCAGTCTCCTGTTATGCAGAGACGCCTTATTAAGATCAGGAAGTGAACCTAAGCCTGCATGGCCTCTTTTCAGTCCTGCGTCGTTCTTGTCAGTCAGAAGTTTTCAAACGATGATGGAATAGTGTAGATGAAATCCTTACCTCCTCCATCTAGCACGTGCAACCGATGACGGCCACTTCGCAGCAACATCCGTCGCCGCAGGTCCGAGGTTGGTTGGCAGGGCATGACTTGCCATTCCAGACTGAGCAGCTGTTGGCGGCTACGCCATTCGCGGCCATGAGGGCGGCAACGGCAACAAAGAGAGTTTGGAACTGCATTTTGTAGAGGTCGATTGGTTGGAGGACTGAATTAAGATGGTTCGGTTGCTTACTATTGTCGGGCAGATGTGTTGATGAGGCCATTTGCATTCCATTGTGTGAGCAAGATGTGTTTCTTTATATCTTCCTCCTCAATATGCCACCCCACATAGTTGATGATATAGAGTCCTTCCAATATGAAACAGTCTTGGCAATTGTATCAAGATTGATGAGAAAGTATTCAGTAGACACCAACGCAATTAATTGCGAGTGCACATCTAGGCCAAATCCGCCAATCAAATGAATCAAAAGATACATCTTCCTACATTCTGCCCCTGATTATAACCCGAGTCAGCACAGCCGAAGGAATGAGGCGAGTCAGTATCAATTACAGCTAGCCCGTGCTTCCAGATGAACTTGTCGATCAATCGTCAGGGTGTGACAGGACTTTAAATGTTCACTTGGCATCCTTGCTGACTTCCTTTCTCCCCGCTAAGTCCGCATCCTGCCGCTTACCCAAGTTCGTTCGTATGACGGAGTCCACTTGATTTATAACTGTCACATTCCTCATCAGCTGGCAAGTTTTACTCACCAGGAAGCCAGGCCCATTGAAGTGGTGATTGAATCATGAGGGCTCCAGGAGTTTTGCGATCACGTGTCACGAGTTGCATTGTATGAGACCGCAAATGCTTGATCATGTATCAATTGTAGTCTTCGTATCTCTTGTTATCAGACTGAAAGACTCTGTCCATCCCTCTTCATTCCTCCCAGAAAGACCCCTTCGATAGTACAATGTTGACCCCCGCCCTCCCAATATCGTGTACGCTGCCCCTCTTCAGGCTTCGACTCCCTGTCGAAGGGACAATGCACATATGCAACTTTTCAGATGATGGCACGGTAGAATCAGGCGTCGACAAGTGAGTCCATCACATCATTCCGCGAAGATAGCGACCCTCCAAGACTTGCTCGAAGTTGTCAAGGTCGATATGGTCCTCGTCGAACTTGCGGAGGGAGCCGCGGTGGATCTCGGCGTCAACGACCAAGAGCTTGCCAGTAGTCATGTTGTAGAAGCAATGCTAAAGTTTGAAAAGAATCAGGGTCAGCATGAAGGCCCGGGTCGCAAGGTAGGAGAATCAAAAGAGAGAGAAAAAGAAGAAGAAACGACACTCGACATATCCCAATAGAGCTCGAGTTTTCAACTCGGCGACGAACGAAATAAAACTGACCTTGTGCTTGTGCTTCTCATCCTTGACCACAGTACCGTCGCCCTTGACAGGGTGTCCAATCAAGATAGCAGCAACCAAGAACTGCACGCCCCGGCCGAACTGAACATCGGCAACCAACTTGTCCAAACCCTTGGCCTCCATTCTGTTCTTGATATGCGCAACAACAGACTCCTCGTCCTCGGTGACACCCACAAACATCTCGTACGAAAAGTGCGTGACAAAGCTGTCAGAAAGCCGAACCGTCTTGGCGCGCGGGAACGACTCCAAAAACTCAGCAGGCTGCTCAGAATATCTGAGGTTGCCGACGATGCCCTGGATGTGCTCGGCGTTCTGGCGCGCAAAGGGGCCCAACAGGTCCGCCATGGTCGGGAAGCGCTGGGCGCCCGAGTCGATGAGGGAGCGGGCCCAGTAGATGGGGCGGGCTTCGTCGTAGATCTGGCGGCAGGCCAGGAGGAAGTCGCTGTGCTCTGCGGTGGCTGCCCAGGCCGGGACCGGGCCACCGCGAAGGCGGCGGTTGTTGCGGACGAGGACGATGCTGTCGCAGGTGACGTTGGAGCCCTTGACGACTTGGACGTAGATCTTGTAGCGGATCTCGTAGGGAATGGTGAGGAGAATGCAGCGGCGCTGGGCGTCGGTGATGGCGGGGTTGTTGGTGCTCGCCATGTTGATGTGGTTGACGCCCGTGGTGATGTTGTCGACGTCCACGGTGGCATTGTCGACATCGACGTCCATGGCGGTATCGTCGATATCGATGGCGGTATCGTCGACTTCCATCGCGTTGTTCTCGACTGCCATCGCGGTGTTGCGGCCTCTGCGACCTCTACCGCCTCTGCGACGTCTGCGTCTAAGGACGGTAGCTTGTCCGCTATCGTTGCCAGACCACATCTTCGCGAACTGATGAATTGACGATGTCCGCGGTGGAAGATGAAGATGGAGATGGAGATGATTTTGGAAAAGAGAGTTTTTGTTTTGGAAGGAAGGCGTTTTTCCTTTTTGAAAATATTCAGGGTGGTGGGCGAGGTAGAAGGCGCTGGAAGTCATGTGAGAAGCGGATACTTGAAGAGCGGCAGCCTTGATGGTGAAGACGAGATGGGAGGTTCATGGGTGAATCACATTGTCACGGAGAGCTTCTAGTTGGCATTGAGTACAGGGTAGTGAAGGGAATTAATGTTACTCGGGATGCTCAGACTTGGGCAACTCGTCCGGGCCTCAAAGTCATGGCTATCCAAGTCAGTACGTACGATGCTGTTGAGCTTAGCAGACTTGGAATGAGCACAAAGGCATCAGAGGTGTCAAGACACGCCTTGCACCTGTAGTTAGTCCTTCAGGTTGAAAGTAAATCAGAATTATCACAGCCTCTATCCTTTCATGACTTTGTTGTCTGGTGGGCATTATGCCATACTGTGATCTTCTAGAAAAGTCCAACGTTACTGGGTATAAGCCTTCTTAGATATGTAAGATAGCTTGAAATCTGCTTAGCTCTTCCTTAGAGTCGACAACTCCCTTCAATTATCTGGAGGATAGTTTACCATATTACTGTTGCGAAATCCTGCAAGCCCGATTCAAGATGCGAGAGGCAACTGTGGGCGAAGAAGACGAATCTCAGTAAGAAGAATGTCATATGTGGCATTGGTGAAGGCTCGATAGGATTCAGCGCGATACAGTAAAGATCGGGCATAGTAGTAATAAATGGGAAGAATCGAAAGAAGTTGCGAAGGAACTTTCAACGATCAAGTAGTGAATAAGTGCAGGCGCAGTGATATGCTGTGTAAGTCAAGCTTGCCCCTCATCAGCAGACCTTGTCAATTTATGGATGGCTAATTAGATGTACCTGCTCCAGAAACATCCTTACGTCCTAGAATTACGACAAGCACCTATCAATCTCTCCAAACCAATGTAAGAAAACCAAAAAAAAACAAGTGTCTACTTGGCAACAATGGCCTCGCTTGCTTTCAAAGCACCAACCACCGTGAAGCAGATCAGGGGTGATACGATATAAGACATCTGAAATCTTGTCAGCAAATATCCCATGTATCAGAGGGCAAGAGGCTAGGAGGTGTCAACTTACAGTCAAAAACTTGGCAATCAACATCTTTAAAGAGTCTTCAGACCCATCAACATCCGCCAGCGCAGACAACTTCATAGCCGGAGGTCCAGTCGGCATAAGCATCAAACAGAACCACAAAAGCGCATCCTTGGTCAAGAGTTCCGTCCTGCTAGCCAAGAGATAAATCACGCCAATCGAGATGACGGGCCAGAGAATGAACCTAACGAACGTGACCGCCAGGAACGGCACCACAGGCACCTTGCTCTCCTTGGAGTCCTCTCCGTTCTTGTACTGCAAGATGGCCTTGGACAGCTTCACGCCCACGACGATGACCTGCAGCACGGCGAAGAGCTCGCCGACGTTCTTGACCGAGGAGGTGAGCCAGGCGTTGAAGTAGCCGCCCTCCTCAGGCTCGTTGAAGAAGAGGCGGTGGAGAGCGGGGACGAGGCCGAGAAGGGCGCCGATGAGCGCGCCGATTACGGGGGCGTTGACGAAGCTGTACAGGAACTCGAGGGTGGAGCGGGATGTCGGGGACAGGTTGGACCAGTATTTGCTGCCCTTGCCGTAGACGCGGTACTTTGTGCGGGTGATTCTGGTGACGGTGCGGTCTGGGAGAAGAGAGGTTTGCTCGTTGTGCTCGACGGCGTCCTGCTCTTGGGACTCGAGATCTTGTTCGCTATCGCTGTCATACTCATCGTCGTTTTGGTCTCCCTCGTTCTTGTCAGGGGCTTCCTCTTCTTGGCCGTTGAGGAGTTTCGGTCCCAGAGCAAATGTGAGGGAGTTGCCAATCATAGCATTGACCAAGAAATAGCTCTTGGCCTTGGTGACGACGCCAGAGCTGTCATCGATGGAGCTAAGGATGCCGGTGGCGTCGAGGGATTGCACGAGCAAGAGGGGCAGACTGGTCGTGTTATTGAAGGCGATGGCCGGAATGACCCAGTCGGGCATGCCAAAGACCTTTGTCAAGACGAAACCGATGCCGATTGACACTGTAGTGTAAAAGATGGCCCAGATGATGATGGGGACGTATCGAATTCCCTGGTAGATGGGTCAGACGAGACGGATATAAGGTGCCGAAGGGTGGGCCCGGGATACTTACAGTCTCGAGGTCAAGCTGCGAACCAACATTCGTAATCAGGAGAGCAGGAAGGGCCATTCGAACGCAAAAGGTCGAAATCTTCTTGCTGCTGCGGTCGTCGAGGAGGCCATACTGGGCGGCAATGACACCGGCGGAAATGGTGAGGAGCACCGATAAGGAAGCTTGGAAAGCCCCCAAGAAGGGGACGAGGATGCTTTCTGCCGTCTTGTCTGACATGGTTTCTGCTAGTCTTTCCAAGTCACTGAACTACCAGCAACCTGAGGGGACAGGAGAAGGGGAACAAGCGTGGTTTTAAGAAGAGCGGCAGCAACTTCGATTGAGACACGCGACAGGTCAGCTAGACTTGTTCCTTGCTGTGCTCGCGCAGGGACAGAAATGCTTGGCGTGTGCGCTTGGCACCAGGAGCGTGAGGAGGCCGTGGACGTCACTGTGCACGGGCCAAGAACGCCCCTTGATAGCGTCTTGATGATGAGATGAGGTTTCTGGCTTGGCTGCTTCCGGGCGCCCATGATGATGTCCATAACTTCTTCGATCGTGGTGTTTTTGGACTGATTTTGTGGTGTTTCTGCAATGCCAAGCATCGTCGATGGAAGGAAGGGCGGTTTTGGGTTACGGTGTGAGCGAGGTGTGTGATCCAAGCTCCCCCGGGTGCCATGCTCGGTGAGCTTCGCTGGGAGCTTCCCGTCACCGAGAACTTACACAAAAGGGAGTACGTACCGTTTTATGCTCAGGAGCTGTGCAAAGGTCTCCATAAATAGCCGAGCAAAACCGAATTGGTGCGAACGTCATTGCATGCTCACCAATGGAGCTTATGCTCCTCCGTTGCTGTCCTCGGCATAACCTCCAGCTCTACCGGCACAACGTCGACATCGAATTCTGCAAATCGTTCAACGCCCATCACCGCGATTGAAATCCGTCTTCGATCTCGAACTTACTCCATTGGCTTGTTCTGCTTGCGCTTCTCACTGCAGTCTATCCCAACCGCCACAATGCCTCCCCGTCTCGCTCCCCTCCGGATCGCAATCCGCATCCCGCGCACCACAAACGCATCCTCAAGATCCCCGGCGGCAGTAGCCGGAGCTTTCTACTCGACCTCGACGGCCGCAGACTCCAACCAGCCGCTCATCACCGTCACACAGCTCCCGGCACCCGGGTCCGGCCACATTCGCATTCTCGAGCTCAACAGACCCAAGGCGCGCAATGCCCTCTCCAAAGCTCTTCTCTCCCAGCTGCGCGCCGAGGTCGACGCCGTCCACGCCCAGTATGACCCGGAGACCGGCGCCGAGGTACCGCCGCAGCCAATCTTTGGCGGCGCCGCCGGCAAAGACGTCAAGGGTCCTACGCGCGCCCTCATCCTCGCCAGCGCCGTTGAGACGAGCTTCTGCGCCGGCGCGGACTTGAAGGAGAGGCGGGGCTTCACACAGGAAGAGTAAGTTGTACCCTTACACTATGAACCCCAAATCCAGCCGAGGGCCAGTTATTGGATATCTCGTCGAGATTCGAACAAGAGCTTGCTGCTAACACGTGAGCCCGCACAGGACCGACGAGTTCCTCCACAACCTCCGCTCCACCTTCACCTCCCTCCAAAACCTCCCAATCCCAACAATCTCGGCAATCTCCTCCATCGCCCTCGGTGGCGGCCTCGAGCTTGCCCTCTCAACGCACTTCCGCGTTCTATCCTCCAACGCCCTCGTCGGCCTCCCCGAGACGCGCCTGGGCATCATCCCCGGCGCCGGCGGCACCCACCGCCTGCCCGCGCTCATCGGCCTCTCCCGCGCGCGCGATCTCATCCTCACGGGCCGCCGCGTCTCCGCGCCCGAGGCCTACTTCCTGGGCATCGCGGACCGGCTGGTGGACATCACGCACGAGGAGGCGGAGAAGGCGGGCGAGGGCGACAAGGATAAGGGCGTGTTGCTGGCGGCGCGCAAGGCGGTTTTGAGCGAGAGCGTGAGGCTGGCGGGGGAGATTTGCGAGGGCGGGCCGATTGCCATCCGCGCTGGACTTCAGGCTGTGGCGTGGGCGAGGGAGGAGGTTGAGAATAAGATGTATGAGCGGGTTGTTGCTACGGATGATCGGAATGAGGCGCTCAAGGCGTTCCAGGAGAAGAGGAAGCCTGTTTTCAAGGGCCAGTAAGGCTGTGTAGTATTTGTGCGTATCTATGGTCTAGATGTAGACATGAGAGCTAGGCATACATTGCTTGAATGTAGTCTCGAGACTATGATGAGATGGGTCAGCTTAGCTGGAAGAGTTTCAGCAACGCGAAATTTATCGTGATATAGATGCGGCGGCCATGTTCGTTGATCAGACAGTTATTCTTTGACGACGATGTATTATTCTCGCTCAATCGATCACCCAAGAGACTGAGGGCATATGGATAGCTTGAGGAAGTTCCGATATGCATGTCGGGTGAAGAGGGCTCATAAGCCCCACCTCGGATCCGTGCCGGTAGTGGGTCCAGGTGCGGCACGGATGAGATCGAGATGCAACATGGCGGGAAATCTCTAAGAAGGTACTGCTTGACTTGATATAGACTAGGACCGAAGCTGGGGCTCATGTGAAAGGAGCGATTGCCAAGCCGAATGTCTAGCCTAGAATGCCAGCTTACCTTGGGCTACCTAGGTATTTCTCTTCATTCCGCCCTGCCCTATCCAGAGTAGAGCTATTCAAGCGTTAAAGACCGAGGTTATGCAAACAGCCCAAAGCAATGCGTACAGTGGCAGAGAGATTGGTGTTAGGTAAGGCCGGCTAGTGGTCTGATGAAGGCCAGGCCAACGAAAGTAGATATGGCGTCATCTTCCCCAGTCCCAACCGCCTATTCCGCGCAGAGGAATCGAGAATCGAGACCCAGACAGTACATGTACCAACTCCCAAAAGCACGGCAGTCTGCATCAAACGTGCATTGGATCAAAATGTCAAGCGGGCTGGAGACTGGAGGGATTGGTCCGCGATCGATGATGTAGGTGTGATACAATTGTCTTGGTGGTTGCCGGGACGTCATAGCGCCTCTTTTTTTTTTGCTCCTCCCCTTTGGTCCAGCCCAGTGCACCTTCGCTGTGCAGGTGGGGATTTTGGGGGAGGAAGTTGCCGCCCTGGGGTGCAGTCGGGTCAGTGCATTCACGGGTGTTCCAGACCGTGTTAGTGCTAATCACTGCTCGCCTACTACCCTTTCCACTTCGCCTCAACAGACGAACACCATGACATCACGGGTAGCTCATACGTAGCTCAGCTTCAACTCGGGCCTAGCTCCCCTTTTACCGCACCTCGCCATGGGAGACGCAGACACAGACTGGGACGGGAGAGTACGTAGTAAGCTAAGGGAGGTACGCGAGCGAGGGGTAGCTCCTTCCGGGTTTCCTCTTGTCTTTCATATTTGAGCTCTCTGGCTGCACCTCTTACTCCATCTACCTCCCTTTCCACCTTACTACTCATCACAACATCATCACCACCTCAAAAGCTTCAAACGAATCAAACGACGACTCGTCATCATCACTAATAACCCTTCCACAAACCACCAAACACACACACACACACATCACAATGTCTTTCCTCATCGAAGCCACCGGCCGCCGTCTGGCCACCATCCCCCGCGTCGTCCCCAGAGCCGCCGTCGCTGCCCCCAGAACATTCACCACCTCCTTTGCCGCGCAAAAGTCGGCAACAGAGACCGTCAAGGATGGTCTGAAGACCGTCGACCGCAAGGTCAGCGACAAGCTCGTCGATGGTATCAACGCCGGTGGTATGTTCTTCTCGCCCCTTTGACGCCACGCCCACACGATCATAAGATACTAACATATCCTCTTCACAGCCAACGTCGCTGAAAAGGTCAAGCAAAACGTCCCCAACACCCAGGGCGAGGCCGCCGGCAAGGCACAGGAGCTCAAGGGCGAGGCCGCCGGCAAGGCGCAGGAGCTCAAGGGTGAGGCCAAGGGCAAGGCCAACGAGCTTGCTGGCAAGGCCAAGGGTACCGCCGACCAGGTCAAGAAGAACCTGTAAACTTCCCACACTCAATGATTCTTCCAACAAAAAGTTCCGGGAAGGAAACATGTATGATGACAATTTCTGAGCATGCGTTATGAAAGGCCGCTGGACTGGAAATGTCCTACGCGCGACCTACTTGTACACTACCACTACTACCTCATAGCATGGAAAGGGGTTCGAGGGTGACTCCGTGGGGCGTTTTAGCAAGGTCAAATCAATATTGCGATTGATCACAACACATTCTGAACTGCTCCGCTGATCAACGTGACTTCGAATCGCCATCTCTCTCCAAACCGTGCCCACCAGCTAATCCACTAATAACAATAACTTACGACATGTTGCGTGTAATGAATTATTGAGCATCCTTGTATATTTCGAAGACTTAGGTCCAGCTATCGCAACACTTCATTTAATACTAGAACCTGGTCGAAGCAATGTGTGTCATTGGCCAATGGCATCTCAGAAGTACAAAGATAGTCATGTGCAGCCGCATCCATTCACACTGAGAGGCAACAGCGGGACATGCCACTTTTAGTGTGTCGATGATGATGCTCTACTTGAGGCTTATCAGAGCTGGATGCGACTCGAACATATAGGACTAGCAGGTACACATGCGCGGGCTCTGAGCCTTACACAAAAAAGACGTTATGGATCACGCAAGACACAAGTCGAAAAGCAGTATCAAGATCACGCAAACATCAAAAGCACAGCATGGAAAAATGTACCGACAGAACCACCTCCCAACCCTGACACCCCCCGCCCCCTCCCGTCGTCCTCTAGTCAAAGACCAGAGTCAGGGAGTCAAGGCAGATAGCAGGATGACATGATATAAAAGGCCGGGAGAGCAAATGGTCAATCCGCAGACCGAACCACCCGCCCCCACCCATAAAAGTCCCTGTCCTTAAAAGTAGAAACCGTCGGCGTCGACACATCCCATCATGGAGTCTTTCTTCCACCGGCAACACTTCATCTTGAGCGATCTTGTGCCTTGCGGATCCGAAATGTCCCAGAGGATGTGGAGGTCTGTTTGATGTACCGCTCGTAATACAGAGCTGGATCAAGGATGAATCTCTCCTTGCGCTCCACCTTGACGTGCGGATTTGCCATGGTCTTTGAAAAGCCATGGCGAATGATTTGTTGAGAGAGAGAGAAGGGAAAAGAAGAACGTTCACAGATATAGCACAACGAAATTGATGTTGACTTTGGCTCGTGCCAGGAACTCGCAAGGTTTGGGTCGGTTGCCGGGACGGCCCATGGGGTATCGTACATTCTGGTCTCGTCTAGGTCAAGTCTCGTCAGCAGCAAACATTAATGGAACGACCGGTCCTGGTCCTCCTCGAAGAAGACCTTCTTCCTTCCGCTACCCCGATCGTGATCCAGATCCTCCAACGCCTGATCAATCTCCAAGATATCCAACATCTCCACCTCGACATCGCGTGTCGTAACGTCATCCTGTAAATCTGCGGCGGCGTCGAGCGTGTCGGCGAAACCGAAACCGGACTTGGGCCGTCCGATGGGAAGCGTGAAGTCGTGTGTCGGATCATCGACGTCGATGCTATCGCGGCCATTCGATTTCGTGCGCAGACTTCTAGTCTTGTTAACGCTGAGGTTGAACGACACATTTCGGGGCTGATCGGGTCGAGGGTGGACAATAATGGCGCTCGGTGGCTCTGGCTTGCCCTTGTCGCCAAAGAGACGTCGGCGGGTTGAGACAACCGTTCCGATCTTGGTGCCTGGGGTGTCCTCGGACTCGTGGACAATCACCAATCGGCTCTCGCCCATGATGAGGACCTCAATCTGCAGACCCCCATCGTTCTCCTTCAGTCTGGCAAAGTTGACAGCGGCACCCACGCCACAGCAGCGCTCTCCGAGAAGTCCGGTAGACAGATCTTGCAAACGAATCATTCGTGTTGGAGTAGTACCGCTGAACAGGTTCACACCTCCACCAGAACTCCGACGCAGCTGGGCATCCCAGAAGCGTGAGACGGCGGGGATGACAGAGACATTATCCAGTCCGCCGATCCAAAGCACAACGCTCTCATCAGCGGAGCCAGAGCCTGAGCCACTTCCGGGCAAGGGTGTCACAACAATACCGCCTCTGACAGACACAAGCCTTTCCAGTGAGCCCGCGGTACTGAGCGAAGCTGCTGCGTCACGTCGGCTGTGGGGTGTCAGAGGTACGAACTCGCCGTTGCCGTTGGACCTCGGTACGCTTGCTGTTGTCCTCAGCGGCCCTGTGCCTTCAACGTGACCGGTAGCACTGAAGGCGGTGATTGCGCCACCCTTGATGCCAGAGCTGTTCTTTCCCATGATCGAGGCGCCTAGCGGGCTAGCACCATCCACATCCCATATACCCCAGGTGCCATCGGCGAGCAGTGCGAGGACAGCTCTGCCATGAGAAATCCATGCGGCGTCAAGGATGGGTTTGCGTGTCGACGTAGGGCGGGTGAATGGCTGGAACAGAGAGAGCAGCCAGGATCCTTGGCTAGGGAATGGTCCGGTGGCTTGGTCATCCGGAGGAAAAGAGGGTAGCGCGTAGTCGTAGATGCGAACAGCGTGCGAAGAGGCTACTGTAAGAATCTGTGTAAGATGCGTCGGGTTGAACGAGATGCTGGAGAGGGGGCTAGGAAGATATTCGGCTTGGAATGGGTTGATTCGGGCACTGGCTTCGCCGGGTTGGACGTCAAGAGGCACATCCCAGAGACGGAGAGTGCCAGATGCCTCGCGGGTATGTGCGGCGACAACGAGACGAGGCTTCGGGGCACTTGATGCGCCGGTCTGCTCTCGTATCCGATCGGAGCTAGAGGAAGCTTTGGGTCTGATTAATGACATGGCAATGCCTTCACTCCGTTTGTATTGGCCGCCAAGAAGGACGACTCTCTCTCCCCATTGACCAGAACCAGCCTTTCCAGCCAGGAGGTTGGACATGAGCTCAGGGCGTGCCTTACTCTCGGGACTCGGCGGTGTAAGAGGAAGGGTCACGACGTAGACATCGTTGGTTGCGCAGGCCACCGTGAACACCATCTTTTCCTTCAAAACATCGGCTCCTCCCCAGGCAGCATCTTCCGCAGAGCATGGCGTCATAGGCAGGACGGCAAGATGCAAAACAGATGTGCCAAGAGAGAGGTCGAGAGTCTGGATGATTTCAGGGTAAGGTCCCTCCTCCTCGGAATCTTCGAATTCGGGCTTGTCGGTAAAGGGCCCTGATGCCTTGCCTGCCTTGGCTGGTGCTTCGTCGTCGTCGGAGTCTATGATCATTACGGCATCGTCTGGAGCACCATTCTGCTTCTCAGTGGCAGGTTTTGCTTGTTGCTTCTTCGATGGCCTGAAGCGACGTCCACCTCTCCATATTATTGTAATGCCATTGTCGTGGCCATAAAGGAGGATCGTAGCTCCTTGGGAAGACTGGACAGGGTAGGTCTTGACATCGTTGATCCGTCTCGAGAGGTTGTAGCTAAAGCCTGTCAGCGCACTTCTTTGACAGTAGCTTCCAGAGCTGCCTCTCAAACATACGTGTATTGTGTGTTTTGTGACGTGCGCCGGACACGGGGCGTTGGCTGAGGGGCCATAGCTGCCCAGATGTGAAGTTGAATTTGAGCTTCGGCCTTGAGTAAGCGTCGCGAATGGCGGCGTGTAGATGGAGAGCCCTCGCTTGGCTCGAGAGCGATTGATGTGGATTGAAAGGAAGAGTTTGTCGCCCGGCCGTTTAAAATCGCAGTGATGGATATGCGTGGGCTTTTGCGCAAGCTGCACGTTGATTCCCCAAGTGCTGTAGCTGGGAAACAAAAACGCGATGGGCGTCGCGGAAAGCATCAAAATGGAGTGGCTGAAGCCTCCACCTGCTCTTTCTGCCGGGCAGAGAGTGTGGCTAGTGAGGGCGGTCAGCACGGGTTACCATAACGAAGGGATCAAGTCCATCTGGTGCCAGCTGTCACCGACCCCTCCAGAGCTCTTACCTCGTCACCAAGACTGTGTGCCTCCGTCCTGCCCGACTTTCGCTTGAATAAGCCGAAAGAGGAAAAAGAGATCAAGTTGAACTTCCTTTTCACATTACTTCATCTCTTGAGATTTCATCTTCTTCACTTTGGGAGTTTTCCTCCTTGACCTACCAACTACATGCTGGTCTGAGACCACAATTCGTCCCCTCCTCTTGCTAATTTGTTCACGTCGGGCAAGCGTTTTGTGGTAGGGCGTCGACCTCATAGGGGCATTCTATCACCTTGAAGCACATAGAGACCGTGCTCCATGCTCCTCTCTCTTTATCTTCATCATCGAGCATTTTTCACGTCATCTGGGTCTTCCCAGGCTCGCTTTCAGTCACAATGTTCACCCCAACTGTTGCCAACTCGACCTCCTACTTCTATGCGCTAGGCAATACACCGGCCATCAACTTAGCCAAAAACCTGCCTAATGGAGTCGATGCCAGTTTACTACTACTTGGTTGCGGCGATGTGAGGAACATCATTTACACAGCCTACAATGAGATTGGACTACGTAAGTGCTGTGTAGGTCTTGGTGAAATCACATCCACCTTTCTAACTCGCCATCAGCTGGTCGCAATCTGGATGTCACAGTCAATGACATCGATGAAGCTATTTTGGGTACGTTCAAAGTTTGCATCCGCCAATGAGTATTTGCTGACAATCTGAAGCACGAAACATCTTTCTCTTCTCTCTGCTCATCGACAATGACAATGTCTCCGGAAATACCCCCTGGAACTTGTACTACAACCTTCACATTGACAGCTCAGACCTACACATCTTATCATCTCAAGTCAAGAAGCTTCTCAAAGCATCAGAGTCTCTGAAGTCATGGAAGTCAAGCTCATACGGTAAAGTCTTGCCCTTCTGTGATCAGGCCACCCTCGACGACGTTCGTGCCGTCTGGATCAGCTATGAGAATGCCGCTGCGTCCGACAATGTCATCGCCAATTCCGAAGCCCTGACTGCCAATCTCAAACACTCCATTGAGATGAAGAGAATTGCCTTCGGCAACGATGTAGCTTTCACCGGTTT